TCCCTTTTTTAGAATTTTCCAGAGCTCTATAAACTTTTGAAACTTAAATGGTAACTTATATTTTATTTTTTTAAATCAAGAGTAATTTGGTGAAAATGTAGAAACTATCAATTAGTAAGAGTTATTTAATATTTTAAGGAAACCTTATAAATAATCATTTGACAGGGCGATTCACAAACTATGAACTAGTCAATATCTCAGAAGATATAAGACTTTTTAAAATTATTCTTATTTACACTTTTATAGTTTATTGTTCGTCCAGTTTTAATTTGCATAAAAAAACACAAACACATTCTATTAAAACCAAACCTTATAAAATTAACGGTAATGTATATATTTTGTTTACTTTTCTAATTCAAAAGTAATTTTCTGAAAATGTTGACTGATCGAGTAGGTACCAGTTTTGGATATAATTATTTTTAAAGTTATTGGAGTAAAAATTGAAATTTGGAAAATACTTGTTCGATCTCTGGACGAAGGATAAACATTTGAATATTATCTAATACCGTAAAACAACATAATGAAAAGTGTCTACAAAAAGAAAAACGGCAATTATTTTAATAGAAAATGAGTTTCTTATCATTAATGAATAGCATTTGATGTATGTTTATGTGAATGCATGACAAAAGGCATAATTTTTATAGGTCGGTACAATATAATTATTATGATAGTATTAAGTATAATTTAGTTAGTGTTGATATAGTAACTTAAGTGATAAACAAAATACAGGTTCGAGAAAGCAAGATATCATTTTAGTGTAGTTTATAGTTATTTAAGTAAAAAAAAAAACAAACTAGAGAAAGCCGGGGAGGGAATTTTCCCATTTTTGCCATTTTTTTTAAAGCACACATGTCAGATATGATCAAACCCATTTAAATGTAATAAAAAAAAAATATTTTACTCGTTAAAAAAAAAATCTACAGATTATTTCCATAACCGTTTATCTTACATGTACAACGCTTACTGTAAAATAAAAAATATGTTATGAAATATAAAATTTTGCCTTCAGCCAAACACGATCTTAAGCTTATTAATTTACAGCGCCCGCTGAGTAAGGAGTTATTTCGTGCACTCCTCGTTTGCGCTGTCGACGTTGCATGTGCAAATGGAATTACTCTGCTGCGACACGGGTAGCTCCTAATCATCAAGACTTATGATTTAAGCAAACGGCTTAGAGGCAACTAATGCGCATATTATATTTTGTGTTTTACAACCACGGACACGGCGTGACACCGTTATCTTTTTTTAGTTTTCACAAGTTTTTTATTATTATTATTATTATTACCCCGTTTGAGTGGGAATTGCGTGGAACGGTTGAAAACCAACTCGTGCAATCAAAACACTCATCTCGTCAAGATTAAGTGGACAAAACAGCGCGTCTTGACGACATTCGTTATTTTTATATATGTAAGCATGTAATACAGTCTGCGAATAGTTAACTCACTTTGATTCACTACGGTAGATTTAATCGTGTGCGGCTATTATATTTTTGTCTACCGGATCAACGTCTCAACGTCATTGTCCCAGAAGATTTATCTACAGAACGCAAATATACTTACGCGTAAATCGTAATACTAATAAAGAAATAATTTTGCATGTAAAGCAGTAGCAGTTCATATGGTTGTGTGGAAATAAAATCCGGACATTATACGTCACATGTTCACTGGGGCAAATATTATGATGTATAACTCCATTCGAAAAATAGTTTAGCTGTAGCATGTTTAGTATGTAAATTGCAATCATATTCATAACAACATTGTCATAATAATATGTATATATATATATATATATATATATATATATATACATGGGCAATAATCATATAATAATAATAATAGAAATTGTGAGAAATAAGAATCATAAAAGTACCTATAAGTAATTTTTGTTAAATTTTACAGGAGTAGTATTTTACAGGTAAAGTGAAAATTGTATTTACAATGGGCGATTTTTATTATATTACCTGCAAAATCTCTTTCAAAAATGATAGAAAAAGGTTACATTGACAAAATACACTGTATGATCAAAAACTTAACAAATCAATAACTTGAACAAATATTTAATATACTCGTACCCTATTTGTTTCGATAATAGCAAAATAACGATTAAGTAATTCAAATAACTTGTACATATACTTATGAATCATTATATATTGTAACTGTTAAGCTACAATAGTCTAATCAATTTTAAAAACATAAGTTAAGGAAAAATAATTACATTTTTTAGTAGTACTCAAATAAAACTTCCAGTTTGATACCTACATGTAAATTCTGTTACTACTCCAAATTTAAATTTATTATTGTATATTTATGATAATTATTATTATATTCATTCAATAAATAGATACACGTGGATCTAGTTTGATATGGGATCTTTTGAATGAAGTCTAAACATTATTAATTAAAAGTTTATTCACTTGGAGTTTATCATTTATGTCCAACATAAACTTATGTTTATCTACTACAGGTTAGATATAATTTTTTAATTCTGCTTATACCGGTACTAGTTTTGATAGCTTAAAAACGGTTATGACCAAACGTATTATAAAAATGTAAGTACAAAGATTATGATGATTAATAATGATTTTCACACTACTTTAGCGATAGCATAACTTTCACTGTGTCTAATTTTCATGTTTCCAGGTATTCATACCAACCGTGATTTGGCGTGTGCAAATGTGGCATGCGGCCTGCAATCCCAAAGATGTTGTAATATATATATATAGGTATATACTATATAGAGTAGTACGATGCGAAGGTGAGAGGGTATTTTTTTGTCTGAATTATTTTAAATACACGAATACAGCGACTACCGTTGCAGATGCACTCAGCCGGTGTTATATTCTCGAGTAAACGTGACCAGCGACTCAATTTTTTTTATAAATTAACATATTTTGAATTATTATCTTGATTTATTGCGCTATTGAACTTTACCAGAAATGCCTGCGACATTGTGGATATTTTCAAGAACACATATGGCGGATAATAGGTACCTATATGTTACTCGATTCGTGTACATCGGTATTACAAAGCATTTTGCGGCATCGGCTGTAACATTTGTTTTAACAGTCAGACTGGATTTCGCAATTATTATTCATTCTGCACGTCACAGGCTGAGGTTAAGGCATACTGTACTATGTCTTTCGCCATTCCCGAATTACTATATATTATTATATGCTGTTGTCATAATTCTTGACTGCCTACCGCCAGCGTACAGCGTACGGATTTTATAGATTTTTGTCTGTTCGTAGTGCCTATTTACTACTATGACCTCCCATGTCATTTCTGTTATGTTTTTGTAAATTGGGTACCGCTCATTGTAAAATTGCTGATAAACATGATTTGGACACTGGTAAAATAAGAGACTCTGTTGAAACAAATCTTGGAGGACGAGTCGTTAAAGATTTAACAAATCCATTACAGCATAAAAATCATAATTTGTACATCGATAATTTTTTTACAAGTTTACCACTTTTAGCATATCTGAAATCAAAAGGTATTTTTTGCTGTGCAACGGTTAATAGTACTCGAAAATACTTACCAAAGTTTGAGTTAAATAAAAACATGAATATGGGCGACATTGATTGGAACATGAGCGACCAGTATGACACTTCAACTGGAAAGACAAACGAAGAGTTACTTTGCTGTCCAACTTCCATAATCCAACTGATGTGACTGAGGTCAAAATAAAATCTAAAGATGGAACCACATCAATGATTCCTTGTTCCAATGTATCAAATTATTGATACAGTTTTAACGATTTGTGGATAATGTCTATCCATTGATTTATATTATATATGTATTTTTGTTAGTTTATTATGATACGCACTTCGGTCGATGAAAACAGGTTTTTTTTTGTGTCATGTCTTTGCTTGAGATTATAAGCACTAGTGTCCCTATTATGTACTTGGCGCATACGCCTACAAATTAAATTCAAAAATACATCATTTAGTTTTATGTAACACTAAATGGTCTAGTTGTTTACAAACACGACAAAACAAGCTTATCTACTGACTTTCCTGTGAAATTTTGAGTCTCGTGCACTTATAATGCGCTTAAAAATTAGTTATGTAAAACCATATAACATATATATTTTACCATATTTATTATTGATGGACAAAACTGATACCAGTATAGCAGAACGTCATGACTACTTTGACAAGAGCAAACTGATCTTTTGTAATTGGAATTTAAAACAGTTGTTGTCTTTGATGTAAAACATAGAATTAACGGTTCAATAACAATAAGTAAGTAAATTTAAATGTGCTATAAGCGTAGGTTTTATATTATATATTTGTTGTGAGCACAATTTTTAATTGATCTATCAGAAACCCAAAATCATAAAAAAAATATAAATATATATATTTAGCTACAAGTAGTCTAAAGTTCATATATTTATGCACTTTGATTAAGGTAAAAAAAGTTTGCAGGTTTCAAATTTGAGTGCATATACTTGACTCGGATCTAAAACATCTACGTACATCTGGAAGAGTTTTCCTTGGTAAAAAACTATGCAGTAAGCTTTCATGGTGCTTCTGGACATTTCACAGGTATTGCATGTTAAAGAAGTGAAAGTTTTATGGTATTTATCCTCCCCTCTTTACATTGAAATCAACTACAATACAAAAAAGTAAACAATATTAATTACAATCTTACTTATTTGCCAATAAATTCGGAGACTTACTTTTATTAACAACAAAAAATTCTACCATAATGACTATTGTTAAATCGACATTAAACCTATTTATAATGAATAGTTTTATTCATGCTTTTGTTTTGTATTAAATTAAACCAGTACAAATTGAAGGTTAATTATAGATTATCGATATTACCATTGGTCAATATAATGGCGATTTCTCAGTTTCGTTGATTTATAAAACCCAGACGATCTAAATGAGAGGGCTATTGCAATCAAATCGTTCAGCTTGTATACTATAGTTTTATTTTTTCATTTAAAAAAAACATTATAATTAAGATACATATTTTTAGTTTACCGTGTTACATTCAAACAATTTGGATATGAGTACACCTTGGTGAGTTTAAAGTTCTCAATTAACTCTAATATTATAAAAAAAAACACTTAACTAATATGAATAAAATATTAATATTAATATTGAAAAAGTCATAAAATTAAATTTGTAGTTAAACAAATCGAAATTGAATGTATTTATTTAGACGACATCAACATATTTTGTATTTTTTAGGAAATAAATCTGTATATATCTATACTTATAACACAAAATCGTTTAATATCTGTATCACAAAATTACACTGTAAATTACACTATTTTCGATAAAAGTACAGCATATATATTTGTTTTCTAATCACTTTTGTATTTTGTTTTGTATTGGCTTGTACAAATTCTCCTATACAAATGACATATCACATATTACCACGATCTTAAATTGTGAATTTAAACACTGTTTTAAATTAAATTAAATAAATAACTTACTGTACTTTAGTCCATACGGCTCTAGAAATTATTTAACATAAATTGTAATATATATTTAGTTTAAGTTAATAATTAGGTTAGTAATAATTTACATAATCCCTTAATAGACATCTGCTGTTATCTGTTATCTGAGATTAAGTAGACGTAATTTCTAGCTAAAAATTAGTTTGGTTTCTTTGTAAACGGAATAAACCTTTAAAATTGTCTACTATAATTTAAAAAAGTAAGATTTTATAAAATATCTTTTATAAACTACTGTTATATGAATAATAATTTTATTGATGGGCGTTCTTACTAGTTTCGCTAAACATTCCAGTCTAGTTTAGCTTAAATGTTTAGTATTGTTTAGCTGTTCTTAATTTGTAAGCTTAACTGGTAAGAACGGTTATGAGTGTATTAAAATTGATCTAGTAAGGTATATTTCTCCATAAAAGCATTAAATTTCGAGGTAAAACTTTAATCTCTATTCTATCTGTCCAATAATATAATATAATAGTAAGGTTCGTCTATGAACTATCTCTATGCGAATGATGGATGAATATGTACTCATTTATTTAACCAACGTCACCAATGCTGCCGCATTACGTTTTTAAGTAACAATAATGTATATTTTATATTGCTGTAGCTAGATAGAACACGAACTGATAGGATACGGATAAATCTTGACGACCCAACCGAAACGTTGGTATTTCTGTTCAAAGATTGACGTTCAGCGCTAAAGCGGACACCGGTGTCCGCTCTACTTTTGTTTCACTTCTTGCGGAAAATTTGTGAAAATCATAGATAGAATACCTATGTATTAGTGGCATAAAATGATGAGCACAACGTCTCGGTCCGGCGAGAGGTTTTAGTGAAATATCCTTGGCGCTTAACCCGTCAAACCTTGGACGTATACGGTTTTGGGAAATCGTTTCTAAAGCCGTCAGCCTATATCTATAACGCCTGGGGAAAATAAAATAAAAAACTAGTCGCTTATCACGATAATTATTATTGTGAACAGTGTGACGACAATCGCTGATGGGAGATCTGTGTCGGATGATGGCGTAGGCGTTAGTCCAGACGGCGGTGGCCCTCGGGCGTACCGGAAGAGTTGAGCGGCGGTAGTACACGTGGCTGATGGCCTGATGGCGCAGGGGAGGGAGCGAGAGGAGGGGAAGGCAGGAGAGAAAGGAACTGAAGGTAGAAAAAAAAACACAAAACTATAAAGAACACGAGCAACGCGTAATCGCATTGTCTATGCGTAAAAATAAACAGTGACAAGCCGAATACGCGCGGTAGTAAACGAAAAGCAAAAGAAAAAACGGAAACGACCGCCTTAAGAATCTCTCTCCACCCGTGTGTGGCTGTGTGTGCTCGAGACGTTTGGCCTGTCTGACCACCGGCGCAGTTGTAATCCGCCACCGGTTCGGGTGAAATGTGTACCACTGTAGTTGGTAGTCGACCGGCAACGTGAAACCGCATCTAGCTGATAACACGTGCGATTCGTCGTCGTTATTCCTGTTGTCCAAGTTGCACGTGAGTACAAACAAAAATAAAAGTGAAATGTTTTGAATACTTTTATACAGTCGACGAATGAACCTGAGACGTTGGTCGAAAATGTGACTTAACTGTATTCGGATACAGGCTTTAGGGATTCGTGCGATCGGGCCCGGCACTAAACCGGTAGACAGGTTGAAATTGTATTTCAGCCTAGTCAAACTCTGATTTTAATTACTAAATTTTAAACACTTAATTGATTAATGTAGTTTTAATAAAAACGTCTGTAATGGAATACCAATTATTGAGGAAGCTTAGAAGTTGAAACGATTCAATTATTGATTAGAACACTCTTTTAACCGAAAAATTGTTCATACACTACGAGATTTCCTTACTTTATGAAGTTTTCCATGCAATTTTTTATTTATTTATCGAGCTCGTGTTCCAAATGCTAAAATTAATTTATATCGTGCGACATTATTTATTTGTATGATTACACAACAATTAGTATAAAGTAGCATTTCCACTGGAAAATACAATTATAATGGGTTCAATCATTAAGTACGGGGTTTTAATACAGTTAATACATCGCTACTCGTACTAGGTACATAACATAGCAGTTTGTTAACATGACATCATAATATAGTCAAGAGAGCTTTATTTATCAATGTAGAATTTGACACAAATATAGTCATTAGGCCTCTCAATCCTAATGATAGACCTATACTCATTACCACACTAGAAAATAGTAATCCTCTTCGTCTTGGCTTACACAATTAGTGAGGTCATCGGCCTTAAGGTTATTTTTTTACTATTGCTCCTTTTTTTAAGATTTTAAATAGTTAATCTAAACTAGCTAATAGGTTCAAAGGTTAATGAAATAACTAAAATAGCAATTAACGAATACTGATGACGCGTTATTAATAGGTACTTATGAACTTATTACCATTACACTAATTATTATTATCAATAATAAGGTAGATTTAGATTCAGCCAAACAAAGAAAACAAAACTAAAAAATAGAGTTATTATCTCGAATGGTGTCTAGATTGAATAGTATGTGTTTTTAAAAACGGCTTATCCCATTTTAAAATTGAGAAAAAAACCGTTAAAAAAATATTTAAAATATAATATTACTTTTAAAAGGTTCTTTTTAACATTGTAAGATGTGTTTGGTTTTACAACAGTCAAGAATTTTTTAAAAGCGATTTCATCAATATATTTGCACACCAGAAGGTCGTTCATGTCAGATTATGTTAAAGTTGAACACAATCTTGAAGCTTATTTTTGTTTACATTTTTACTCGGTGTGCAATCTGTATAATTAAGAATAGTTGACCTAAGGAGTCAAGTCCGTTAGGTTATAAAACACAAACGCGGTTCAACCGATTTGCGTATTATTTTTAATTTATAGTGGAAATACAATACATATGTAACACAGATAACATCCTTGTCTGCTGTAGAATGATAATTTATTTCCTAAAAGTAGATAGTTTTGTGAAATATTGCGAAATTATATCTGAATAATAAAAAAAATGGTTAGTAATGGGGAATTTGGACCGTTTCTAATTGTTGTTCCTTAAAAATTAATTTCCACTGACGTCACTTGAAAATAATGGTTTTTGCTCAACGTTATTCATAACTGTTTTACGATTAGGTTTTTCGGACTATAACCATTGCAATACGCTTTGGAGGAAAAAAATATAATTTCAAGGTGGTCATCAATACAACAATCATTCGGTTGATTGAACTTGTATTTTATTTTATTCCAGAACAGCATACTTAGGTTTTTAATTTTTTTCCCACAAAAATAAATTAGTAACTGAAAATATATTTATACAATTTGAGTAGGTATATTTACGAAGTACACGCGTTTTAGTCGTGTTATAAACTCAATAAGGCTTTAAATGGTATTTCGTTTTTAACTTGCATGACGTAAGTAGAACCAATCAGGATGATTAAAAATATATCTATTAACAAAACTATATTTACATTAATTGAAAGTATTCTCATTGAGAGTTATGTATTTCCATACACACATATCCGTACAAATGTATAAGATGCCTCACACATTGTTTTACGTACAATTTGGTTGTAAAATTGTTGAAAAACCTTATATTTTTAAGAAACTTTTACACATTGCTAAGTGATATAGTTTCATCATCGAAATTCCGAAAAACTAAATAGTCTGGACAAGCTTTCTATACTGCTTCCAGAAGTCATTCGATGGGCTATACCATCGCATGAGTCACCAGGAAACCAGCACAGTACCTCTACCTATGTTTGTTCGAAAATTATCAACCATAATACTAGCCATACAAGTTGTCACCGCGGTAATGCAATTTTACCACTTGTTTCGTTTATTTTGTTCGGAGTATACCTATACCTATACGAATTTCAATTAAATTTCCGACAATTCTGAATGTCAATCCAACACAAGAAGATTGTGCAAAACGTGTTTGGCGGATTCGTATCTTATAGCTGACACGGCACACTATTGTAACTGTGTTTGCATATTAATATCATAACTACTATTTCATGCCAAACCGGATTATATTGTACTATTCGTACGCGATTGTTTGTTTTTTTTAAGTCCTATAAAAAATACTAGTTACTACGTTATTTATTGAAAAGGTTTGCTTGTGATGGGCGTTGTCCGTTCAACAACGCAACAACTTTGTAGAAGGTCAACGATCCTTTGGTCCTCAACCTCTGCTAAATAATTACAATGTTAGTTTTTTTTCATATTTTTATCTGATAGAGAAGACTAAACAACACTATACCAGAATGGTCTGATGACGACATAGCTCATCGGTATCAGTCATCAGCGGGTTGGGTGATTTAGGGAGTTGATAATTTATTAATTTTTTACAGTGGCCTTGAATCTCCCCGATATTTTTAAATCTCAATATCACATTGGTTAATATTCTTTTTTTTTATCGGCTATTTATTTATCTACTGCAATTTCCAACAAGGTACCGAGTTCGCCGAAACATTACCTTAAAATAGTGTACATTATACTATGACATCGCACTTGGATAAATATGTTTCAGTTTAACAAAGACATTACTGTAGATATTAGATTTCGAAATTCTTGAATTTTTAACCCTAATTGTTGACAATTAATATGTATATATTATTTTCAATATACAATTCCTTGTTGACATTTGGAAATGAATTTATGAATTCCTGATTGCTCAATTATGTAACAATAACCTTTTATGAAAAACAAAACAACTAAGCTAGGTATGTAATAGGTAATTTCGTCTTTAAAATATAGGTAGTATTAATATATATTATGTAGTAACTAAAAGTTCAAACATAATATTTACTACATTAACACATTTATGTTTTATAGATTTAACGTGTTTACTTTTATTTTTAATATATATTTAGTTTGATTATAAAATAGGTTTATAATTGAAAATCTTTGAAAAAAAAAGAATCTAAAATCTTTCCATTTTATAAATGTTTTCTATATTTGACGAATGTAATCTTATATACATACCTATATTTTGTTAATAATTTACTCTCGGATATATTAATTCTTATACCATGACATAGTGTTTAATCGTCTAAAACTTGTAACAGCTATTAAAGTATATTTCCTTAATTGCTATAACTCGTAACATTTTTCAAGGATTTCGACTAATATTATTTCAGGGTTTTTTTTGTGACATTAAATGAAGCAGAAAGAAAATTCTCGTTTTAGTGTTTTGTTTTTGTGTTTGCTCTAATCATTAGAGTCTAATGTATACAATATACATGATCGTTTCAAATTTTACTTCGCAATATTTATTTATTAACTAGTATTATTTAAAAAACCACATTTGGTAAGGCTTCATAAAAAAGATTGTTAGAAAATTACGTTTGTTTTTTTAAAAATATGTAAAATATAACATCTCACGATGGAGCAGAGGTATCGTCGTACTTATGTGTAATATTACCTTATTGCGTTTTTCCCCAAGTGCTAATCTATTGAAACTCTTATGAACTTACTTGTATTCTGTTCTTTCTGTCTAAAAAGGCAAATTTTAGTTTCGGACAATACTTGGTCAGATTACTACTCTTACGACACACGTTTTAAAGTGTATGCAATGTAAAAAAATTGCACACAGAATAAACATTTAACGCTGAGAGAAGATATAAACTTATATAAGGTCATTTACCCAAATTTACAAAAAGTGAGATAAGTTAATTTAAACCTTTTAGTAATTTATGCCAATTTCAGTGTCTCAGGTACCTAATGACATTTAATTAGCTGTTTTATGTTTTCCAGTCGTTGCAAAAAAAATACTAAGGTTAAATGCATATGTAGTATTAAAAAAGTATTAAAAAAAACACTTGAATTTATAGTTTATCTTTTAAAAAATATTCAACAAACCATAAATAAAAATCTTTTAATCTTTAAATTAAGAAATCCAAAATTCCTGTTATTCATTCGGAGACCTTAAGTAATAAAAACATTATTCCTACTTAATATTTTGTCTGTATAATGGTTTACAATATAGACACATGAAGTTTATTCATGGTCAATACTAATAAAAATTCCGGTCAACTACCTTGTCTTACCGTGTAATGATCAACACCCGGATTTAGATTAATATTAATATGTTTGATTTTGTATGTACGAAACGAGAAGTTGGTTTCTTGTCCTTAACTATTTAGGTATGTTTTATTTTATACAATTATATTGGGACTGTTGGGTTCGTCGTAAAATTCTGGTTATCAAGGTTAACCAAACTTAAAGAAATAATAAAAAAAAATATATGAGAAAAAGTACGCTGGGGAATCGTTAAACTAATTTCACAAAATCGACAGATATGATATAGAGTGAGATAAATCATTCAGTACACTGTTGTATGATCTTCACACAATTGTTTCAATATTCTTTCCTCTAAAGACTATATTGTCTGTACTCGAGTCTGTGAATTTGCAGTGTTAGTTTTTTGACGTGCAACAGTCACGAATATCGTGCGCTCTAAATATCAGCCAAGTATGTCTGGCGATGTTCACCGAGTTACAAAATTACAAATAATGTGTGTAATTATATATTTATGTAAGTATATAGAATTTCGGTACGATTAAATCGACGGCGCGCGCCCTTTTCTCCATTTTTTGTACATGTATATTTTATCCTTCGCCGAATAGATGCTTATCAGTTATCGTGACGGATGAGAACGTTATGTCTTTGGACGTGGATAAAAGTATATATTGTTATCTTACTGTTATTAACGAAGGTTTGATAATTCGTGGTTGCTTCGCCATCGGATGAAAATGTAAAAGAGAAAAACAAATAGAAACCGTCGAATTCGTCGTTGCAGACAATGAATAACAAATAAAAATCAGTAACTAAGTATGTACAGTTAGGTACAAATTAAATTGTCCGCAAATACAAAACGCTGGAAAACAATACACCTATATTATCCGTAGTAAAATAAAAGGTTATACTAAATAAATGTTTCTCAAGACATTTGAATCTCAAAAGCAAAAACGATTGTACCAAATATAAGTGTTGAATAATAACACGATGTGAATGATGTGAAGTGTTTAAACGGTGGAGATCATTCATGCGTAAAACTGGTGCCTCGATATTTCAAATTTAATTTTTGAAACCTTGGCGGAATCGATGTTAGCTGAATATATATATCAAATATATCTGATATATATATATATATACATGGATCGTTGAGCAACTTCAAGATCGTGACCTATTTGACCCTATTTTCTCTCCTAACCGAATTATACCTTAACATTTTCCTCAAGTTTTTTTTTTTTTATTTATTTGATAATTTCTAACAGCCGCACGAGTTGTACCTGGATCTACTATCTTGTGAACACCATTATATGTTTTATGGGTATAGAATGATCCATGACACGATTAAGACCAACTGATGATTCGTGTGCCATCGCATTAGTGGACAAGTCTCCTTTAGCTACGATGATTCAAATACCATGGAAATACTATTACTTCATAATATTTTTATCCCGAGCCTGTGCTTTGGGTGTAATGGACATGGGTCTGTTCGTGTATCTTCTCTACACTATACCGAATCACGGCAACCGAGCGGCCACTATTATTAAGTACGTTTAACTACACGACTTCTCATAAAATTGACATTATCCAGGCACGGATTATGATAATAACCATCGTAGTAAATTATATACCTATTTAACAAGGTGAATAACGGATACTTTCTATATAGAGAATAATATTGCGTTTTGTTACTACGGTACAGACCAGCTCAACATAATACTATTATTTAACACGCCATTTCAAAAACTTGTAGTAATATAAATAGTGTTTATATTTTTTATCAAATACAATATTTTCTGTCGAAATACATAAAACAAAGTTCAGCACTTCGGTGGTATCGAAGAAGAATTTGTACTGGGAGATAACATAATAATATTCAGAGACAATTTAAATAGGTAATTTACAAGTAAACCGGCAAAACAATGTGTTTACCTATTACAAAACGACTAATCTACCTAATTGATGTTGCCGTTGTGTAGTCCAATGTTAAGAACATGGTCAAGAGTTATTTTGAATTTTACAACGATTTGTTATCAACAAATATCTCTTAATAATTTACTCTATTACGTGGTAAAATTGGAAAAAATAGTTAACTAATAATAAATAAGGCGCCTCAACTATGGCGTGTAATGTAAATTAATTAACTAAATGTGACTATAAATATTAATAAGCCAACCTCCCCCTTCAAAGTTTCTTTTTCCTCCAATTTATAAGATTTTATCCATAAACTATAATATCATCTTGAAAATTAATACCTATCTCAATATAGTATTATATAGAAAAATACAAAACTTTTAAATAAAATTAAAAAACAAAATTAATATACATTTTCAATGGCGGGATAGTAATTTTCTTAGTTTTATGATTTTTTTTTTATGAAAATATAAACATTCAAATGCCAACTAGTTTGTATAAATAATTAATTTAATTTTTTTTTTTTTTTTTAGGAATGATGCGTGGTTTAATAATAAGTTGGCAGGTGTAAGGTACTGTTGCTTTTATTAGTAATGTACTTAAATTTCCAATTAATATAAACAATTATCATAGTAATAATAGTTGTAGAACACAATTTTTGTGTTAAGTATCACAAAAAACTCATGTATACTGCAATCTCCGTGAATATATTAGAAAAAAAAATCTATAAAATATAAAAGTAATTATTGTATATTACTGATTTTGTGGAGTAACGTATTGTCTTTTTTTCTTTAAGAATACTCGTACATCGGCATAGACTAAATAATAAATTACAAAAATATTTGTCATAAATTGATGTAGTTGGAAAACTTGATGTGCATTAAATTCGACCGTAAATATTTATAATGGTCAATTCAATGTGTGTTTCTTACTTAGTAGGTACACATAATATTATACTGTTAAAACGCGTTTGCCGCTAGTGAGGCGCCTGTCAACTAAAAAAAAAACTTGACATAATAATTCTAAGGTTATATTAAGCCATAAAAAAGTTAAGCTGTCTCTCAAAAATCGTGGGAAATCAACCTTAAAGTGATTATGTAGAATATGTTTTAATTTTAATGAAATCCTTTTTTTAAGAACATTAGATATGACGTTCCCTAATTCAATGATTTACCGTAATGGTTATTATTAATTTAGTTGATCATTTTTAGACCAGTGACTTCACTATTTTATCTTTCAGTTTTATACCCGTAGAAATAAAAATGATTTATGCTTATTTTGTCAGAGCTCTACAGGGTTACACGCTTTTTAAATTTGTCAAACTATTAACATTTTGCAAACTGGTTTTTGAGGTTTCAGTTTTTTCTTTCTGTTCGCGGTTAACAGCTATTCACCTACCATTCACTCATCCAGCTAAAAACGTTTCTGCCATTAGTCGGATATTCTCAAACTGTATTTGTTTACCGTTCAACATGACTTACTCGCATAGCAAAAGCAATCGAACCTTGAAGAATGTTCTACCGACTATGGAAATATTAATAATAAGTAAAAATGAATGCACAACGATTCCGCACACCCTGACCTGCGGTAAAACTATGGCGGTTGAGTAATGTGTAAAACGATAATCGACCAAAAAAACAGTGTTCTCCGTGGATCCACCAATATTGTCTGACACTGTTAAAAAAATGCACCAGCATTGTATATTGTACATGTACATCCTTATCCGCATTTCTTATTTCTAATCCTCATTTGAATTATCAAAGAGAAATCTTTACCGGTGCTAAAAATGCTCTATGGTAACGATAACGACAGAATGATTATATAATAGCTATGCGTGTAAATAAATATCGTATTATGATAATTATGTTAAACATATTCACGGTAATCATGATACAAATTTAATGATATTGTTAGAAAAAAAAAAACGTTCCACAACTCTGATTCTGTGAATTTTCACAAATCAACTCTTCCCTTGTGGGCGTTGCCTCGTTAAATTTATTCATTAAAACCTTTTTAAATATGAAAATTATTGCAATACATGCATTTTAATTATGAAGTTACTTTTTAGAGTAAACACCACATTCTCAATGGACATTTTCTTTTCCTTTTATATAATTTATTCACTTTTAAACCGGTGGATATTTATGCTCTATGTGTAAAATATTCTTGTGCTTTAAATTAATTTTGTAGCAAACTTAATAATCGCTAAAAATTAAGATGCTCACAATAGTTTTTTACGGGAGAACTAATGATTTATACATTTTTATTACCGTGAGGAAATCCCACAGGTACTTATATAGTAGTTAGCATATCTTGAATTATGTGTCTTGTAGATATCGTTGTAGACCAGGGTTTGTACACTTAACGAAGACTGTCATTCGGTTTAGGTCATTCACAATAGGTTTATCTACGTGCTCTGAACTGATCCGACAAAATGGATCGTGTGTGGGCCACCGCATTTTTAGCAACATTCTACAATAATATTGGTAACAACATATTATTTTCGCACTACATTCTTCAATTGCCACATAAAAATCAACAGGAAGCAGCATCGTTTTGCAACACAGAAAGTCGCTATGCCCTTGACACTGACCGGATCTAAGTGGACAAGTAACCGAACGCTGAAATCCGATTCTGGGTTTTCCTGTTCGGCGTGTAGGTGGTTGTACTTCGGTTTTCAAGCGGTGATTGCTTCCACACTTTCCGGTAAATACTCGATGCAAACAACTGCAATCGGTAGACCAGCATGCGTATTGATTGATATAAAAATAAGGTAGGTACAAACGAAATGACAACGACAAAAAGCAAACGAAGTCGTTTCGAAATAATTGATTACCATTACGGTCACGCACGGTGCATTTAAAAATATATTTATTATCATTATTATTATTATTATAATAATTTAAAGAGTATCGATGCTGTTTGCCCGAAACGAGGTCAATACCGGCCAACGATTGTGTTATTACTTAACAAAAAAAAAAATTCTATTATAATTTATTTATTTAAAATATGCGCTGGAGAACACAGATGTGTTTGTTCCGCCGGAGTCTATCGGAAACATATGTTATGTGTGTGTTCGCATTGTCATAAATAGTAGCACAGGGATTAAGGTTAAGTATACGAGAGAGATTCGTCGTCAAGACACTAGAAACCGTGCAATCCGTCCACGGTCGAATGAAGATTTCGTCAAGACGCATCGCGAGTGACGGCAGACGGGAAGGTCGTCTTACAAGTCATCTTAGACCGTCAGAATGCAATAATGGTGAAACGGCTGTGATGGACAACTGGCCGTATACTGTTTCCCGCGTACACAGCTGTCCTTGATACGATTAAAGCTAGCCATGAAGTTGATATTCCAAAAAATTTGAAGAGCTCCTCTTGGATTTGTCAACTATTGTGGTAAATTTGTAGCAAATGTGTCAACCATAGCTAGTCATTTACGTGAACTTCTAAAGAATAATGCTAAATTTGTTTCGGGAATTTGTGATTGAGGCAGAGGATTCCTGGTTCGGATTTTCGGTTTAGTCTTATAAGTGCTGCACTGATATCCTATAATATTCGTCATATAAAGCCTTACCAACGGGTAGAAAGCGAAGGCGTGTATTAATGTATATGCGTTTGTTTCGTCTGTCGTTCTTGTAAGAGACAATTTCGGTCACGTTATTGAACTCATGACATCGTGTCGGCCCCTGATTATAAATTCCTCAAATTCAATGTTGGCCTACAATTTGACACACGTTCATGTGGTATGTATTGTCCGACAGAGCTGTGACTATGACTGGTTGACTATTTTAGATGGTTTGATGTAGGGGTGTAGTATAATATGTTTTTTTTTAATATCAAAAAAGTGTCTGAGGAATCATTCATAGTATACAGTTTAGTGACACACAATGCAATAGTTTAAATTTGGTAATTATTTGCTCGCTATTGTTAGAAGGCTTTTGTTTTAATCCTTATATCGTTTTTTGTCAATTAGACACAAATTCCCCAATATGCTTTTTTTTATTCATTTATTCACAATATTGATAATATAATATTCTTTTATATTATACAGATTGTTATGGTTTTTTTTATTTTTTCCACGTTTTATGAACTTTTTTTATCGCATTAATAATTATAAGAATAAAATATGGAATTCATCGGCGATGTCTCTAGTGAACAAAAGCAAGAACACATTTGGTAAATTAAAGCTGGTAGATGTGTTATGTATACGATAGGTAAGATAAATAGTTCTCGTGTTTAACACTAAAACTTGCAATTACATCTCTATATATTTATATAACGATCGTTCGGCTTGAACTCAGAAATAATCCTAATGGACAATGGCTAACGGGTTTATATATATTATTTTCCATACACACAAAACAAATCTGAAATCTAAAACCTATTACAATTTACACACAAAACCGCCGTAGGTACTTCATAATACTTGCATTATCCGCTCCATCGAACCATATATACATTATATATCTTAACGTTGATGTTTTTATTTAAAATTAATGCACAATACGGTTTGTCTAATACCAGAAAATGCGTGTCGCTTACTTAATTTTCGTTAACGATATAGACTTAGCTTTGTTTTTTTATGATAAAGGAAAATGTTTAATGACCGTTAGGGCTAAAAAGAAATATTATTATAGATGAAGCATAATTTTGTTCATTCTGTATTAATTTTAGGTATCACAGTTATCAAAAAAGTTATTTAAACTTTTCTATAGATACACAAAATTACAACTACACTGAGTTTGTATGATGACCATAATGTTATTGTGCTCTAGAAAGTAAATGTCATTATTACAAAAGTGAAAAAAACGAATTACGGTAGCTCTAGGCAGGCTGCTCATTTATGTAATAATAATAACTTTGCAATCGGTTCAATTATGTTTTTAACGAACTTTGAATGTATGTACAATATGACGTACGTCTCAACTAGGTTAGTGCAAAAGGTGCAAAAGGTCCCAAAAACGGATTAAAACATAAAATATGAAACAGAGAACAAAAATGATTGTATAGTGTTTACATTTTGATTTATACGCGTTATTAAAAATTGAAGAAAGTCATTTCGGAGAAAACTCAAAAGTGGCAATAACAGTAACGAATGGACATATTATTATTACATTCAACAGCAGGGTTACACTGTATATTTTTAAACACTACATAATTACTGTTACAGTACTGCCAAGCGAAAAGACACGCCGCAATGGCCATTGAGAATAACGGGTTGTGTGAACGCGTGTGCGGTAGCAAAATGTTGTTACCGTAGACCACACACTGTAATTACACTTGACCATAATTGTAATATTATAAATGACTTGCGCAAATTGGGTACTTGGTACAAAAAAAAAACGCTTCTGGGATTTATGTTTTACAGAAATACGCGTTACAGAGTAGGACCGTTGAGAATAAAAAACAAAATTAAGAAATAAAAGTTCCCACTCTGGAGGTTTATGGTCGCTTGTACTTTTTCAATAACTGTGATAAACAAACGTTTTAGTATATTATTATGAATTATGATGACAATAATTGTCGCGAACGCCGTTTAAGTGTGCGTTTAGTCGGGATTGAGTTTGTGCGAATTTCACTCGGACCGACTAGAGGGAAAAAAGAAAGTTTTTCCCAGACAAAGCATAAGTATACGTGTAGTGCTTTCAATATCAACTAATGTCGAATTAATAACTTTAAACATCTACCTACACCGCGTTACTTCCGGGAAGGTAGATTTGTATGTATAGTTATAAACGACAATTTAAAAAAAAACCTAATCCTTTTTTTTATTTCGTTTATAATAGTTAATGTACGTTTTTTACAATTATTAAGTTGTTGACTAATCAAATTAAATATAAACTATTTTTTAAATGCGTAGTTAAGGTGGATACAAATTCTAATATCTAATTAATCGTAAAAGGTTAATAAGTTCTAATATGACCTTACACGAGATCTACCAATGTGACCAATCATCTAGGCGCAATACGCATAATAAATAATGAACTATTAACATATTTTGTTGTCAATATAATTGTTTTACCGCATACTATAGCACAGCACTGTATTTCTTTATCCCGTCTGACATAGAGTTCATCCACCTGCCGCGGTTACGGTTCAGTGAATTTTACTAAAAGCTTTATGCCAACATTACAATATTTTCAAACGGCAGTACAATACAATCGACGCAAATTCGCCTTCGGCCTAATGATTATTACATAACATTACAATAACATACTATAGTGTTTGTAATTTTCTCTTTCGACAGGTTTGGAGGGATGAGTGGCTGCAATTGTCCGGTGACCCAGCCGGGGCCAACGCTGGCCAGCACGTGCGGAGGATCGCAGTTTATGTTGTTTATGGGCTTGTTAGAAGTTTTCATTCGGTCGCAGTGTGACATCGAAGACCCGTGTGGTCGACCCTTGTCTAGATTGATACCGGACAGAGAGTATGACTTCATCGTAATAGGCTCAGGAGCCGGTGGTAGTGTGGTGGCCAGTAGACTCAGTGAAGTAAGTTTGTATTGTAGTCAATACGATTTCCCTACTAACAATAACAAACAATTTGTTTGCAATAAGCAAAATACATTTTGTGATACAATTAGAATTTTGGTTCTTGATCCAACAGTGTGTGGATATAGTGAACTTAGTTTTTTAACAATAATCTTCTTCTTTCTTTTATTTAAAATAACTTCCATACCAGATTTTTCTACCAGAGCGTGTGTTAACAGAAATAATTCTAAATTGGTCGTAATTGTTAGCATTAATTATTATTTATTTTACTATCTACGGTCAAACGACGAAACTCTTTCAGCAGACAATGTACTGGTGCACTTTCGTTTTTGAGCACAAAATACAATTAAGTTTAAAACGGTTGTTATTATTGAAGCTAATGTTCCTATTTGGTTTAAACGTATTTAATTTATTTAATTATCTTTTTAATCCGCAGGTGCCGCATTGGAAAGTGTTAATTATTGAAGCTGGAGGCGATGAACCAACGGGCACACAAGTGCCGTCAATGTTCCTTAATTTCTTAGGTTCGTCGATAGATTGGGGCTATTCGACAGAACCCGAAGAAATGGCATGTCTAGGAGAAAAAGAAAGACGGTGCTATTGGCCTAGAGGAAAAGTAAGTGTTTTTGAAAATCAGTCAACTAAATATTTTATCAACCTATATGGGACAGTCAAACTTGGGCAAATGGTACCACATTTGATTTTTATTGGTTGCGAAACAGAGGTTGTCTTATAATGTGTGACATCAGTGTGCTATTAACGATAAAAGGAAAATTATAAAAAAAATCCGTAAAATAGTCGGCGAGGATTTTGTGTTTGTCATTGAATAAAATTAATGAGAAGAAATCAGAAATAACAGATATGAAAATGTTAACATATAATAATAGTTGTGAGGCGAGTTACTAGATTAGAATAACATATAATTAGGAATGAATGTAAATTTAGTGATCAGGAGTTACATCAGTAACAGGAAAAAGGAGAAGCTGATATGGTATGGCTTGTTAAAAGAAAGGAGGAAATAAAGTAATGAATAAGATAAAAAAATATCACAAAGAGGCCAGGGTAAAAGTAGACAAAGAAGTTAGTTGACAGGGTGAGTGGAGTGGATTTTAATGTCGTAACTTAACGTCTGTCCCAAAACAGCTCAATAAGTTGGAGCGGTAAAAGATTAAGGAGGTGACCTCCTTCGTGTGATCGAGTGAGACAAAGAAGAATATAATGTGAGATCATGTGTACACTGTACATGGTCGACATTTTCGTAGAGGTAAAAGCTCATTATAACATCATTAAAATTGGCGCTTAACTATAATTGCAAAAAAAAAAGGCAAATTGAGATTAACTTATGTAAGCCTAAGTATAAAAATTTATACGTTTTTAACGAGATGCTGTTTCGACAAACCGTTGCTTCTGACCCATGAAAATTATCAAGATCCATTGGTACCTAAACATGATGTTAGTTTCCTGGTGATTATATAAATGCAACCGTATTAAAAATAGTTGGCCGGGCAACAATATACGTTAATTACAACTACAAACTATAATTTAATCAAGAACAGAGGACCTAATTAAAAAAATAAGTTTAAATGTTTTTACGTCAAGTGTAGTTGAAAAAAAAAACATTAATTTATAAAATATTGTTTCTCTTTCTCAAAATAATTCTTAATTAAAAAAAAAAAAAATTATTTACTTACATATCAAAAAGAACAGTGTTTTTAATGTGATAAAATACATTTATACATTATATAACAAACTGATTCTAAAATACATTTCCAAAAGATTTATAAGTGCATCGTGCATTAGTCTACTACAATATAAAATTGTTATATTATTATCAACTATTAGATACTTGATGGGTATTGAATTTTGTATTGTCATACTAAATAAAAAAATATTATTAAAATTTCGTATGGTAATATTATTATATGAAGGAGTTTAATAATACAGTTAAAAATTAGTCATTCTGCAAATGTGTTATCATTGAAATTACATGGTTCCACCTAGTTATTACTATTTGTAAGTTTTCTATATATACATAAGTGTTTGCACAACATGTTTTATCTATGACCTTAAATTTATTAGGCTTCAATAAACTTCTATTCCTGTTTACTGGAGCGCAATGACATCACGAAAATATTTAAACAGTATTAACGTCCCAATTTTAAATTCCAACTATTCAGATGTCAAAAAAAAATTAATCAACTAAATTTATTTCTCAAAATTTTAAACAACTTTGTAATTTTAAAGTAAATGCTATTTTTGGATTTGCAGTTTACATTAATTTTAGAAATAATTATTTAAAACCAACTAAAATTATACGGGGAATGATTTTTTTTTTGCGAAGTGTGGTTAGGTTGTTTTTTTTACAGTTTTGAAATTTAAACTGGAGCATTTCAACGTAGTTCATAAATTTTATAATGAAATAAAAAATGCGACTATCTGTACAGAAAGTAACAGTAACCGAGTGACTTGTGTCCTTGTGGTTTCCAACTTTATAGAATACAATTTTACTAATTACTAAGTAAGCGTAGGCTTTTTTCGACGACCTTCGCTGACTAGTGTTTTTTTATTTTTTCGCGAGAAAATGGTATTTGTTTTTTTTTTCATTTTAAGTCACGACAACATTGGTTTTAATAACGATACACAATATCCAGGTCAATTCAGATCTGCAAACCAACGGGTGTATTCGATCAGTAGGCCATATTGTGTACTTATACCGAGGTTGTGGTTTTTTTATACGAGTTCATGATCGCCATAACGCGCATTCGGATTTCGTGACCAAAACCATTGAACGATATATGGTACCGAATATCTTTTTTACGCTAATGAACCGATCAAAAACAATAGAAGCACGCCGTCATGGGGAAAAAAACTCTTGCTGTGTAGCAGAAATTATTATATTAATTTGGTTAAATGTGTTATATGTAACGGCTTTCAAATTAGGTCGGTACCAAAAAAAAAAAAAACACCAGTGCACTGTTTTTTGTATTCGAGCTATTTTGTTACTATTTTGGCAACATAATATTATTTTAGATTTTTTATACATATATTACTTTAATAACATGACTCGACATATTATTATTAATGGTAGCCCGTAGCTGTTATGTACAACAGTAAGGCACTACAAGAAGAATAATACTTCAGTATATTTATTGTTATATACCGTCAATACGACAAAATGGTTGCAATATTTTTCTAAGACTCTTGTTAGCGCCTGATTTAAGTTTTCAATAGGTTCACATAAAGGAGGACGAATGGCCGAGTGGGCAAGGCGTCTGTGCGTTTGCCGATCACTGTCGCCGGCTGCTAAAATATATCGGCAAAACTAATGTATAAAAAAATCGAAATTAAGTTTATGATAATAAAAAATAATAGTCTCGTTTCTTTGACGTTTTTATGTATCGTTTTTAATCTATAAAAACACCGAATGATTTATTGTAATATCATGGGCACAGCAGTAAGTCGCATGGTTATTCTTATGGTGTAAGTAGAATATTATAACCGGGAAGTTGTCACGAGCACAATGGAGCTATAAAACAAGATAGATATCCGAGAGAGCTGGATTTATTTCAAGTAACCCCGTAGATGACCGCTAGTGTCGTTGGGATTTATACATTACTTTCTTTGAAACTCTCCACCAAGTCGTGATTCAAGCGTGTAAACTTTGATTTTGATACTTCATCTGTGCTGGGCTACCGCCAAACACGTGGAAATAATATTTAATTTATATTCATAAGCTTGTGAATTCATCGCAGACAATAATAATGATCGAATTGTGTAACTCACATTACCATTACCATTTTCAAATTGCAATTTCTGACTGTCTGATGCTCCTTCTTAACACGAGTCTCCCGCGAATGTGGTGTTTTAAGTAGTATGCGTTCAACTCGACTATAACATATTTTAAGGTCTAAGGGGGGTGGTTTCAAATAACTTTTTGAAAACTATTTATTTTATTTAGCTTCGCCTCGGACAGTTAACATTCCCTATATCCCTCCCTCCCCCCTATTTCAGTACCGAACACTAGATCTGACAGATTTAACTACATACCCTGTGTATGTAAATTAGTTCAATGTAATTAATGTAATGTAATTAGGTCAATTATAAAATATGGCCATTAAAATAAAGGCAGGTTCGGCTTTTGATAGAATGATGTGTTGTCCGAATGTACTTTTGAAGAAACTCAAATCTGTGTTTTATCCGTCCTTGGCGGGAAGGTACATAAGCTAAACGATATTATGCTGAACCAGTGATACGTGTATAAAAGCCTATGACAATCGACTATTTTTACAGGTCCCGGGTAACATGCCTAAATAATAATAATTATTATCCAAAGCAAAAGAAAAACGATTTTGTTGTAAACGAAAAATCGATTTTGTTTTATTCGAAAATCGTGGCGCATACACCGCCCGTGACAGTGTATTATATTAATTGTGTGTGTATCCACATTAGTGATTAAAAACGTAAAAAAAGTACAATATTATGTGTGTGACGTCATACACAATACACACACACACATAAAAAATACAATAACAATAATAACTTGCGGCTAACGTTTAGGTGAGAAAATTGCGGGGAGAGAGTGTTCCGGAGTAACGTTGGTGCGCAAACAGCGTGTACACGACATACATATAAAATCATTATTGTTCGCCGTTGGCCCTGCCGTTTTTTATTTTATTTTATTTTACCATTATCGTACACGTGTATAATATTATGCGTACATACACATCGCCCAGCGCTATTATTATTCGGTTAACAATGGCCGGAGGAATTAATACAACGAGATATTTTAATATGTATATATATATATAAGTTTACACAGTCTAGGACCTAGGAATACGTGTATGGTTACGGTTGAGCAACCGCTGACCGCCGGACGAACTAGAACGTTTACATATTATACCTACACCTCCTCTTGCAAATCCACCGTTTGCTTAGCATACGAACCGTGCCTTAAAAATAATAAGATGAATAATAACCACGTCACCGATGGTTATTTCAATAATAATAATACATTAATAATAATATGCACAACACGTATACAGTATATTATATATTATGGGTTCTGCACGAACCGGATCCATCGTCCAGCCGCTCTAATCATATTATTATAGCTAATACAATCAGCTGAAACACACAGACACTATGTAATTATTACCTTCTGCCCGTCAGACAGCCCAAATGTGTTTGCTAATTTCTGTTTTATATATATATATATATATATATATATAAAATGTACGTTTTATATTTTGTTTTTGTTTTGAAGCGCGTTTCATATATCGACGTAGTACACACAACTAGGAAAATTTAACATTTTGTTATTTTAAAGCCACATGTAATCAAATCCAGACATTGATTTGTGTTATCTCAAATCTCTGTTAAAACTTTAAAGTTTAATTATTAAAAAATTGCTACACGACAAGCAGAAGTGCTAACCACTAACCTGAGATCTTCGCAGACCTAAATGTTAATACAACATGTCTCACATCTAAAGGTCAACGTTGCAAATTGTTCTTATACTATTTTACGCGAGCCTTGTATTTAAAACCTGCCTTTAAGTTATTATGACTTTTAACTTATGTTTATTGCGGCGTTATTTTGAATCAGCGAAAATTAAATCAAAACCAACAGGCTAACGAAATGCCACCAAACACTATCTTTAAATATCCGAGAGACTTTAACGCGAGTTTAACTTAAGTGTGAAACGCCTTTTAAATTAAAACAAAACATTTTATGAAACAAAAACACATGTGTGCTGTCAGATAACTAAAAGGAAACCATTGTGGAACTATAAAAATAATTATGAACTGTTTTGAGTGTTATATGTTCGAGTGCATCAGATATTTGATCGATTTGCAGGCATTTGAAACGTTGTAGTTGACAGTAATGATAAAAATAATATTATAAATTCAAATTCACAGTTGGGTTGTGATAAGAATTTCGGAAGTATTTTACTCAAATAATGATATTTTATTATATTTTTATAGGTGTTGGGCGGCACTAGTGTCATGAACGGAATGATGTACATGCGAGGTAGTCGGCACGATTATGACAACTGGGCCAAGTTAGGAAATCCTGGATGGAGTTACCAAGACGTGCTTCCGTATTTCTTGAAGTCCGAAGACAATCTACAGGCCACCGCAATGGATCCCGGTTTTCACGGTGTCGGAGGTCCATTACCGGTCGGCCAGTTCCCATACCACCCTCCGTTGTCTCATGCTATTCTGCAAGCTGGTCTGGAAATGGGATATCAGATAAGAGATTTGAACGGCGCAAAACACACAGGGTTCAGTATAGCCCAAACCATGTCTCGTAACGGTTCTCGGTACAGCACGGCTCGGGCGTTCCTGCGACCGGCTAAAAACCGACCCAACTTGCACTTTTTGTTGAACACGACAGTTACAAAAATATTAATCGATCCGAAGAAAAAAACCGCCTACGGCGTTGAAGTCATGAGAGACGGACAAATCGACAGGATCATGGCAAGAAACGAGGTGATCGTTTCTGCAGGAGCGGTCAACTCGCCCCAGTTGCTTCTTCTGTCTGGCGTTGGGCCCCAAGACGACCTGAATGCAGTCAACGTACCAGTGGTCCACGACTTACCGGGCGTGGGTCGGAACCTGCAAAACCATGTGGCTTTCTTCGTAAACTTCAACATAAACGACTCTTCCACCACCGCCCTGAACTGGGCCACAGCTATGGAATACTTGTTGTTCAGGGACGGTCTGATGTCGGGCACGGGAATATCCGAAGTGACGGCCATACTGCCTTCGAAGTACGCCAATCCCATGGACGATTATCCCGACTTGCAGTACTTCTTCGGCGGTTATCTGGCCAACTGCGCCAAGACCGGACAGGTCGGCGAGAAAGAAAACGATAATCCCCGCCGTGGCATCCAAATGATCCCGGCCGTGCTGCATCCCAAGAGCAGGGGCCAGATCAAACTGAAATCTTCCAATCCCCTGGACCATCCGGCTATCTACGCCAAGTATCTGACACATCCGGATGACGTGGCCACGCTCATCGACGGCATCAAAATAGCCATCAGGATGTCGGAAACGTCTGCTCTGCAAAAGTATGGAATGGAACTCAGCCGACAGCCGGCAATGGGCTGCGAGGACATACCTTTCGGTTGTGACGCCTACTGGGAGTGCGCCGTCCGCAGGAACACAGGACCCGAGAACCACCAGGTGGGCAGTTGTAAAATGGGACCGGCAAGCGATCCGAGTGCCGTGGTCGACGCCGAACTTAGGGTTCACGGTGTCGACAGGCTCAGGGTGGTAGACGCTTCGATAATGCCCACAGTCACGTCCGGCAACACCAACGTGCCGATCATCATGATTGGCGAGAAAGCGGCGGACATGATTAAGAGGCGGTGGGTCGGCCGGAAGCCCTGGAACAAGTGGTAAGCCGTCTCTCAACCTATCACGGTGTACATTTATAAATCACAAGTATCCTCACACAAACACACTGTTACTTCTATCACGTGCAATTCACGCAATCAATGTAAAAAAAAAATAATAAAACACATTCTATAAGCACTCCCACGATAAAAGTACCACACCGGCGAACACGTTGGGATGGTTTTACGAATGCACCGGGTGAATAATGTAATTGCATTTATTTATCATTTAAGACTGTGATTTTTACAGAACGACCAGACGTGCCGCCCAAATAAATGGCAAGTGAACTGGACCCTTTACTCCACTCGTGTGTACTATATTTATATAGTATACGAATTCAGTACATTGCGAAAAAATTACCGTCTACTTAAAAATACATCCAATTTTTAAAATATTAGTGTAGCGAGTATTGACGCTTCGAATGAATAATTCTAGAGTTAAATTAAGATTAAATTATGATTTAACTATATTCACCCAACACATTTTATTACTCTTATTGTAAACTTATGTTAATAACCTAAAGCTTTTACAAAATAAGGATGCCATTAAAATATAGTATATAAAGCCATTAATATTAATTATTAATTTTAATGTAACTATACGCTATGCGTAATATTATGATATTTAATTAAATTATGAAATTCTAATAATTTAGTGTCCATGTAAATATACTGTACTTACTAAATGTGTTACACTCATACAAAAGCTGCGCGTTGTGTTTTTAATTTAGTTATAGACCGGATAAAACGTAGAATAAACATATTGTATTATCATTCATGGAAAGATATATTGTGGGCGTATTTGAAAATAAATTACATAAATGTGATAGAATACATTAGACATAAGTATTATAACGAACACTTATAGTCCGCTTGTGTTATAATTTCTTTACTAGCTTTTAATTAATTTTTAAGCAAAATATTTTTAAACTAATAATAAACTAAGAAATTTTACTTTGTAATCACCTTGAGCGAACACAAGTAATAATTGTATATCCAAGAACAAAATCTATACTTAGTTATTTCAATAATCAATAATATTATTATTATGTTTAGAATATTGTATTTATAATATTTTAAATAATCAAAAATAATTGTATGTATAATCTTAGGTACACTTACACGTTAAGTTATAGCAATAATTATAATTGTATTCAAAGATTCAAAAACGATTAAATATGTGATTCAACTATAATTTTAAAAGATTAAACTAGTTTATTGAATAATAGCTGTAACGATTTCATATCATTCTGGTACCTATTTATGCATATCCTTGTATACAAAATTATTCACAAATATTTGAAATAATCATTCTTACGTTAAGACAGTGTGCTTCATTCAATAAGAATTTTTATCTAAAAGTATCTAGATAATACTACGGATGTGATTTTTTTGTTATAATAAGGTATTTTTTTAAACCCCTCTAAGATTCAGGATCAGGTGAGATATATAATTGTTAACAGCTGGACGAATGTAAATGTAACGTTTTACTAAAATGAATTAACTATTTTTAATTTTAATTGAATTATTTAAAGAGGATGTATTGAGGAGTAAATTGGTAATTTTTGGTAAAATCTTAATTTAGAACTGTCTCGGAGCTGTTTTAAATCACCATATTTTCACAGTAAATGCATGAAAACTTTATCTGTGCTTTAGCGTTTTAAAATTGTCGAGAACTCAATCTAGTAGTTTTTAATAATTTATTTAAAAAACATACTAGCATAGTTCAAACCATGAAATAAATAATAAAATTGCTAACTTAAGCGTTTTCATTATAAAAAAAAATGTTTATTACAGGTTTTAGACCTATCTTCAGACTAATAGTTAATAGTTTTAGAAACTGTATCACAGTATACAAGCTCATTCCCCATTTATAATAATTAATCATTCTACTAACTAGTTGATACTTCCCTCCTGGGTAATAGATTTACATAGCGCACGAAGCTCGTATACTACAATACCTACTTTAGTTAACAAGATAAGAAATAGGTGAATTTGCATTTTTGTCCATCTCGATTGATACCCAATGTTAATTTTTTGGGGAACTTCGCCCACGCAATTATTTGTATACGATTAAAGTACACCGGAACAATGATACAAATCGTTCTGTTTAACTACAGTCCAATTACTATTAGTGTTTCTCATGAGTTAAGACCAGTTAGACGACGTTACGTATGCCTCAATAGTCGACATGCCGCCCAAGTATTTAATGTTTGTCATTTTAGTGTGTTTAGTTATAAGTAAGTGTAAAAACTCTACCGTTTTTATTTTTATTTTACAGCAAAAACATAAAAAGTCGTTAAAATATTTGATGCACAATTAAAAAGCACTAACATTTTTTTTTGCATTCTTACACGGACAGTCCAAAGTAACTGTGTAAAACATAGTCAAAATAATTCCAAATTGTTTGTGTTATTTTTCAAAAATACTTTATCCATAACTTAAATAATTTTAACAACTTAAAATAAAAACTATAACAATATTTTTAAATACTTTTTCTAAAATAATTGGATACGTTTTCAATAATTGTCTTTTTGGGTGTTTATGATTTTACGGTCATGAAAGTCTAAGAAAAAACCAAACAAGATATGACTAAAAGTTTATAAAATAATTAAAACCTTTTTATATTTTTTGATCTTTAAAAACGATTTTTTTTTTTAATTTAAATAACGGTAAAATCATTTTAAAATCATTTGGTTACATAGTTTTTTTTTTCAGATGTCGTTTTAATGGATGCTGCTCCAACTGCTGCCCAAGACGACAATGAACCAGTAAGTAATAGGATCAAGTGGGTAATTGGGTAAATAGAAATTATAAAAACCAACATAAAGTTAGAAATCATTTTAAAAATAGTGCGACCCTCCAAAAATAAAAAACCTTAAAGAAATTATTGTTGTAACTATTTTTAATGAAACTTATTAAAGACAATACATACATGACTTGTGATAATCGTTGAGAATTCAAACGTTGAATAAGTATAATGATGTTATAGAATGTAGAAATTCTGGGTTAGTTGTTCTATAATAATTTGTAAGTTCTATTGAAATACTATAAATAGGTTAGGTAATAACCTACAAGGAAAGAGTGTTAGGTTTCTTAAAGGAGGAGCACAACATTAGTATACATTTTATAAATAAGACGCTTTTTTTTGGCGAGGTACATTATAGGAAACTTTAATATATTTATTTATTTATTTTTTTTTTTGTAGCCAATAACAATCTACAATAGAATGATAATGGTGTATACCTAACTGAAAAAAAATTTAACCAAAAATGTTTTCAAACCATGTGATTTACTTAACTAATATTTTAGATTAACTTAATAAAATTAATATTTTGATGTGACCAAAATCACACTGCAAGAACGACTAACCTCCTTTAACCTTCACAAGTACGCTTATGGGTTAGAAAACGTCTTCTCGAGTTTTCGCTCATCTAAATAAATTATATTATATTTGATTAGTTTTAAAGGGAACGAAAAGCGTAACACTTTTTACAAAAAAAGACTAAAACGCTAAGTCACTTTTTGAAGTGTCTGCCGAACAGATTTCAACAACTTCTTTTTATGTGATATAGTTTAACATCTTTTCTATGGGGGCTAAAAGGCCGATATATATATTTTCAAAAAAACTGTATAAACATTTATATTTTTACTATTTTATAGTTTTTTCTAATTAATCCAACTCATATTTTAATTGCTAAATCAAAAATCGGCCTAGCCCCCATAGAAAAATAGTGAGCTACACATAAGAAAAAGAAAAATTGAAATCCGCCAATAGATACGTCAGAAAATGACTTCTACGAAAGTTATTTTTTATCAAACTTTCATATTATTACTAGAAAACTCTAACTTTACTAGCAAATATTTGTTCACCTTAAAATTAGTCGGCATATTAAAAATTGCTACTAGATCAATTTTTGTCAAATATTGCGTATCCTTTGCCCCTTAATAATAGCGCTTTCCGTTCTCCTTAGTACATCTAAAAGAAAATATACAAATATTAATCAACGATTTAACAATGGGTAACAATTAGATAGCGCGTTATTTTAATCAGTTGCAGTACACTTAAAATTAGAAATATATTTAAAAATAATCATTTGAAAATATGTAAATTAATCAGTATACATTTATTTTATCATACTTGATACCGGATGAACATTAAACAGTGACTGTTGGACAGTCCCCCTCGATTTACTGTTTGTTAATAATTATACACTCGGTCGTAGTCACGTTAATCTATATAATTTTAAACTAAAAACCCGGTTGAAATACCTGATAATCTAAACTTGTTATTGAATTCCTTTATATTTTTGAAAGTGAAATAGTATAGGTTCTTATAGGTTTATACAGTCTTATTATAATTTTTAGGTCTAAATTTTAATTTTATTTTGGATGTATACAGTATACTTATATTAATTATATTATTTCATCAACAAAATTGCCTAGGCCTACCTTATCGCTTTACTTGCTACCTAATTGTCGAGGACCAATATGACACGGAACAAGTTTTTGCGATCATACTCCATCCATAAAACGACACAAACAAAGTTGTCATCACAATGACAACATCGTCTAGAGTGCACAACAGTCGTTTTGCTAATCTTGTACACAAACAACGGACAAGATGAACCTAAAACATTTATTTTTATTTTTTTACTCGTGTTTATACATAGGGAAAATAGTATCATTAGACCAAAATCCTCTCAATTGATGAATATTATTGGTAGAGTGGCCTCTGAAAACCGGAAATAATTGTCACGTGTATGAGTAATGGGTTGAGTTATGGTGTATGTACATTGTACACGTGTTAGGGAAAACATATACTTGCTTGTTTCGTGGCCGTAAACGGACGGTGCTGTGGTTTGTTGGCCGCAGGTGTCGTTGCCGCGGTCGGTGGCCGAGTTGGTCGAATGGGAAGAATTCAGGCGCATGTGGAGGGACGCCGCCAAGGTGCAGTTGGAAAAGCGGTTCCCGGGTAGCGGCCCGGCGCCATCCAGGAACATGATCGGCGACGTCATGACATCCGAAGACTTCCAGAAGGGGATGTGCGCAATGAGCGGCATGGGCATGAAGGGAATGAGCAGCATGATGACCGGCCGCGGTGCCCCGTGGGACCAAATGAGCACTTTCGTGGGCTCCGAGAACACCCAGCACAGCGCGTGCGACCTGATGATGCAGACCATGACCCAGTCCGGTACAGGAATCAACGGGTACATGGGTCGGTTAGACAACGACGCCTCCAGAGATCCTGCCCAAGTGATCGACATGTACTTCCAGTCCAGAGCCTACGACACGTTCAAGGACAACTTCGCCAACATGTTTTCGAACACAAAAATATTTTAACACGAAGCGTTCTCGTGTTAACTTATTATCTTCGTTCGGTTTTACTTGATTAAACTTTTAACAACATCTTTAAAGTAAAATAAAAATCATTTATCTGAAAATTAATTCATATTATAGACACAACAGTTGCGTGTCCAATTTTAACGCGTCCAAGATTCGTACCGCAGAAAGCGCCTTTAGACTTTTATTTTTTTACAAAACGACATATTTTTAACTACCACATGCTTCTATTAAATTATTATAATTTTATATTAAAAAAGCTACTGAATTATTAATATTGATATCGTAATGTTATACGTCATGTAAAAAATAATGCACATGTATCTCTTGTTATGTTTATCGAATAAACTAACTGTTTCAGCGAAAATTTGAACGTTTTACATTATTAGAGAGTTACAAACAATGACATAAAATATGTATTTATAAAACGGATTTTAAGACAATTTTTTTACAAAATAAAAGTTTTTTATCAACATTTCCTAATAGTTAAGAACTGAACCCGATATACCATAACACAATAATTTATTATAATATATTATACACAAAAGATCTACAATAATAATTAAAACAAATGGTAGTAGATCTTTATATTATTTTGATCGACATAATAGTGTGCTTGATATTGAATTAAGTTTCCGGATTTGGTAAAATATGTAAATGTATTTTTCAAACGGTAATAAATATAAATAGGTACCTATACTGCAAAAGTACACACATAATCCATAGTTCTTATGACACTTTTATATCATCTCCGGCCACAGGTCAAATAATGACAATTTCAAAATAAGTTTATTTGGTTACAAGTTGAAATTTTTTGTATCTCAGAATCGAAACAACGAATCATTTTGATGGAAAAAAATTACCCAATTTCAGAGTTATCCCAATTCGACCTGTGGCCACAGATATACAACAATTATTACTGAATTAAATAACTATGTTTCTCTACCGTATTATAGGCATTTACAGAAGGAAACGATCGAACGCTGAACAAGGACGACAACGAGTTTCCCAACGAAATGTACGAACACTTTATTTTAGGAATTGAAAACATGGATAAAGCGACGGCAGCCATGATCGATAATCTATCGGAAACGGATTATTTTGCGGAGAACAACGGCATCGATCATGAAAACTTATTTACTAATGACAATGACGAATAAAAGAAAATTATTTAAAATAAATACCCAATAATAGCACCGCATCTCAATCAGTGTATTTATTAGCCCTCGACCAAGTCCCATCCTTTACTATATTATTATGTTTGACAAATAGATTAATACAATTACTATTGTCAGGCTGGAATTATTGTGTTTATTCGCATAACAGTATTATGTATTATTATTGTTGTTATCGATTTTTAGATGGAGACCAAGAATAACCCAGGAGGAGTCGTCCAAATCGAACGGCCTTTGTCGAATGACGTTATTCGGAGACGACCATACAATCAGATAGCTCGACCGCAATCGGACGCCGAACAGGAACTGAGCAAAGGACCTTTGTCGGGTGTCATACCAGGAGGCGAATCGACTACCACGTCGACCACTCCTACCCTAACGAGTCCTTCGGGATTATTAAGCGGTGGACTTCCCGGAGGAATTGGCGGCAACGAAGGAGATGACAAGCAGCAGAGTCCCACGCTAGTCTTGGGAGGGTTTTCCGCTTTACTCATACCCACCCGAGGTATGTCCATGTCCAATATAATGTCTATGATGTCTACCGGTCAACAGCTCAGCCAATTGATACCTACATCCGGTAGTTAAACAGAAACATGTGCTTTAACTCACTAAATTGCCTAAAAATACAATTTTTCTGAGTTATTTTCAATTTATATTACATATTAATTTTTTTTTTTTAACTCATATCCTAAAACGAATCGGTATTTCATAAACTATGAAAACGTACAACTAATTAACTTTTGTTTCGAATTGATCAATTATTACTTACTCCAAATAAACAATTGTGTTAACATATTACATTTATTAACATACATAAATTAAATAATTATTATGTTAACTTTTTTTTTAATATAATTAATATCTAAATAAATCTAATAAAGATAGAATAAACTAAAAATATACTAGTGTAGTAAATCTTCATTGATGAAATCCAGATACTTGGAAACATCTACGAACACGACATAATGACTTGTATCGCACACAGGAAGACCTTCTTTTGCCACGGTTATGGACACGACCCCTCGAAGAAACCATCTATTGTTCTTGAAGAACACCATGCCACCGCCACTATCGCCGTTACACACACTTGTGCCTATAGACACCATTAATACAAAATTAAAAGACTTTCTTATTATTAAAACAGTTTCAAAATGAATGCATCCATTTTGCGTGGTATACACATTACACACTATGGTTTAAATAATTAGGAATAAGGCTAATAGCTTAAATGTTAGCTACTGTTCTCTGAAAACTAAAATACTAAAAATATTTTATATTTGGTGTTATTATAGTATAATATACTTAAAATGAGAGGAAAATCTATTTTATGTGAATAGGCACCCACTTACCAATTAATAATAACTAACTTATTTTATTACATTATATTTAAAACAATAATATAACTAACCATTTCTAAATCCAGCGCAAAATGTTTTGGCTGATGTGAATTTGGAAAAAAAATCTGGATAGCTCCAGAGACAAGTTTGATGAGAAACCACGGGCATTTTCGCCATCATCAGCTCCTCGGTTGGCGCATGGTTCTGATCAAAACCCCAACCAACCACCTAGTATGGAACATTTTGATTTATAATTTACAGCATATTATAGTCAGCATACTTAATATTCCCTTAAACATCTCAGTTATAGTGGTTTAACGTGTTACCGATCAAACGGGTATTTTTAAAAAATAATTAAAATTTGTAAAAATATAATTTCTAATATAAACATAATATATATATTACTAACTTCATTCTAGTTTATAGTCCTATTATGTGCGAAAAAATAAAGCTAATCCCCAAGCGCCTAAAGAAAATACATTAAATTACAGATATTAATGATATTATCAATGATATAATTGATATAATCTAAAAATAGAACGTTTCATAATTAAGTAATCCGCCATAGAGTTATAGTAAGTTCTCCATTTCGTTTCATATCAAAAACAATACGAATTATTAAACATTTAAATAAAAAAGAAGTTAGTCAAGATGGGAACAAATGCATTTAATACATGTTATAACAACTTGTAAATTCATCACAGTATTTGGCGTGATATGTATATATTACGGCTTAATTTTTCTAATTTCTTTGATAGTTGTAGGTAGAATAAATGTATGTTGTTACAAAAAAAATTCACAAGGTAGTCATAGATTAAGTCACCACCCTAATGAACATTTACAGTATTAAAATTGTTAGACGACAATTATTACCCATTACATTCAAAACGAAAACTTTGAACTATTAAATTACCGTCCCTTCTTTTCCTACGATGTCGTCCAAACTATTTGATTCTTTCTCCCACAAGCACACCGGCTTAACGTAATCGGTGATCTCCACTTCGGAGGACAACGTCAATATGGCAATATCTCCAAAGTAGTTGCTATTGTTATAATACGGGAACACGTTTATGCGGGTAACCTGCGGGAAAAATAAAAATAGAACAAAAATCAAAACGAAAATTCACAACTAAAACCATTGACCTGTTTAGTCTGGACTCCTTCGTCGCTGTACTGCCACTGGTGATGTTTCCCGAGGTAGATCACAATTTTGCTGGAGTTGTAAACGACATCCGACTGTCGAACACAATGAGCAGCTGTAAATAAAATATAGTATTCTAAACAACGTCATTGACCAAAATAATATGCGATATCTAAACGCATTTTTATTACATACCTGTTATCACTTTCGTTTTGGACACTAAAGAACCTCCACAGTTGTAGCTCAACTTGATGCCATTGATCAGGTATAGAGCTACGTGCCACGGCCATTGACCACGATGTGTTGTTTGTCCGCTGGTTATCAACGGTACAGCTGTAAGTTTGACTTCACCACACACACTGGACTTGGTCGTCGTTGGCGATGGCGTGATTGATGTATTTTCTGAGCAAATCGTGCGGCCGTTTAATCGGATCAGCCGCACCCTGGGACACCCTATTGTCGGATTGAACTTGACCATAATCCGAGATTCCACCGGCAGACCGGGCTTTAAGTTTTTGTCCAAATTTACCACGATGTACTTAATGTTGTCTTTCGAAGAAGTCTCGCCAGTCCACGACTGCAACAAAAAAAAAAAAGCATACAACAAAATATTACATCAACACGCGATCAGCTAACGTTAAAGAAGTATACAACTTACCACCATCAGATCTGAAGGCCGATCCAACTCTATTTCTAGTAGAATTCCCGAGACGAATTTGTCGGTGTTGAGATATATGTCGCCGTACCATCGGTTATTTTCTGGTCCGGAACCTTCGTATTCAAATACTTCTGGACAAGGAGATGGTGGGTGTGGAGCAGATCGAGAAGTGCTTCTTACTATCCAAGTCAGCCACAATACCAACGACACGATGCATGTCCGCTGAAAAACAGAACTTAAACTATAAATTACTAAACTTGTACCGAATTTATATGTGTGTTCATACCATCATTGCTATTAAAGGATCTCAGAGTTCAATGTAACATAATATTATGTAAACCACATAATACACTTATAAAATTGACGTGTTCACATTGTTGATTTGCTCTATAGCGCTGACGCGTAAGTACCACATACAAAGTCCCTTGGACATCATTGGATGCCATAGTGTTTAGCAGAACCTGAATATTACAAATCAAGTGTAGACATAATAATCTCTAAGGCCAAACCATGGAATTTGTTAATTTTTTTAGGTGAAAATGGATGTGTTAAAAAATGAATATATGTATAAATTATACTTTCTTGTGGCTAAATGTGATTATTGGATCACGATTACGTCATAAGTTATAATCATATTAAATAATAACAGTCATATTAATATGAGCAAGAAATTTGAAAAATAGAAAATACCCAAAAAATGATCAGATTAGTCAATTCTGTTAACCTTACAATCAACGTTTATTTTGTTGAATTTAAATCGATGAGTCAAATGGTTAATTATTAAATTTATTGCAATTTCCTAAGTAAAGCTGATGTTTTTTAAATTTCTATCCTGAAAACTTGTTATTTTAAAATTATCAAGTTTGGCTTGGACAAACTTAAAGCGATGTACATGAAAGAGGAGACTTTTTAGAATTGATAAATCACAATCAAATGTACAATTTTGAACGTGTGAGTACAACTAAGCAAAAAATAATCTGAAAATAGTTTGTAAACAACAAAAATGGTCAGGAAGCTCAGGTTTATTGCAAATAACAGTTTTTTATGCACTATTTTTACAGTATACTATACACACATTCAATTACAGAATCCAAGTGGTTCGTTCAAATGAAAATTATAAGCTTTTTTAACTATAAATCAAAATCCACAAACAACCGTAAAACGGCTATGTACAACAATTTAAAAAAAACAAAAAAAAAACAATTAACAAGCTAGATACAACAACATAAAAATAACTACCTATGTACACTAAGCACTCCACGACACATACTAAGGTCGTCACAGCTGGTGCGTAGATTGATCATTAGACGAACATAATAATGTGTACAGCCAAAGCATACAAATGTCTTAAAGTCAACAGTGGGGTACATCGTTATAGCTTAAATGGGCGAATAGTGTTGATCGCGTATTTTACATTAAACATATGGCGAAATACCACAACGACGAGTCGACACTGTCAAACCGGTCGCTTGTTCTGTATTCAGAACAGTTTATCCGTATATTATAGGTACATGTACCATTTCCCTCAAAAAAAAAAAAAAATCCCCACCATCGTAGTTGTTTAAAACGTTTCTATGATAATAAAAAAAATATTTACCATTGCCACAAAACTACAAAATCGTTTGGGCACTAATCACCTAAAATAACTGAATAGAGTAGTCATAGCGAATAACATATAAAATCATTTAAGAGATTCAATATAAAGTTATTAACTATTGACTTATTGAATGATCGTATCTACAGAAATTACAGAATATTATACTGTTTGACCTTATAAATTGTTAACCGTCCATCTTCATCATAAGAAAATATTAGAATATCATACATACGATAGAAACTAATGTTTTAAGTCCTTGCCATATTGTATCATTGCATAACTTTTTTTGTATTGTATTAATACATATTCTTTTAGATTTCAATCTACTGCCACGATTTGCTATTTTAAAATCAAACGTTTTGCAGCTTCAACAAAAGTAAGTATTCTTAAAACCCCATCTATTGTGTTGTTACCTATTAACGTTCTTCATTAAATGTCAACATGTTTGGTTTTTACGTTCATATAATAAAAAATATTTGCAATATAATATAAATCGTGTTATTGCCATTTGATATGTAAATAACTTTTTATCTCGCTGTCGAATTTTATCTTTAGTAAATAGTTTGAAAGTATACACTCAAATTTTAGTAGTAGGCGTTTTGAAAACATAACGTCATGTATAGTTCAGTAAAAAATTATGATTTTATTTTCATAATCGTTGTTTAATAATAATAATAAAATATAAATTGTGTGTTATGTTTTATAATAGTAATAAAATAACCCAACGCTGAATGCACATCATCAGGTTGTAAGTATTCAAATTTGTTCTACAATATACATATATTATACATCATAAAATTGAGTCTTAATACATATGTTTAGTAAGTAGGTGTAACCATGTATAGTATGCAGTTAAAACCGCAAAATTCGGTTTATCGTCTTATCGCATATTCTTCTTGATAAAATCCAAATACTTGGACACGTCCGTGAATACTACATAGTGTTTCGTGTCACATACCCGCAGACCTTCTTTGGCTACCGTTATGGAGACAATCCCTCGTAGGAACCACCTGTTATTTTTGGCAAACACCATGCCACCACCGCTATCGCCGTTGCACACACTCGTACCTGGACAAGAGTAAATTCATAATTATTGTGCACAGATACTAATCTTATACCTAATCCAAACGGTATCCAAAAAAAATGATGATTCCACACAGGAGAGCATATTTTTAAAGTTATTCCATTACATATTTTGTTTACAGTACTTGACGCCGTTTATTTACCCTTGTAGCATAGCGGTTGAAATACGCACTATTTTATTTATCACATTTGACCAGAATACTTATAAACCATTACCAACCGTTTCTAAATCCTGCGCAAAATGTTTTGTCCGACGTGAATTCCGAATAGAATTGCGGATAACTCCAGAGACACGTTTGATGGGAAACCACGGGCATCTTGGCCATCTTCAGTTCTTCGGTCGGAGAATCGTTTTCGTCATATCCCCAACCAACAACCTGGAGGAGTAAGAAATAAATAGACTCATCGTTCACCAATCGACATGAAAATTCGCGATAATTTAGAAAACAACTGTATTTCTATACAGTTATTTTCTAAATTATCGTGAATTGAATTCAATAAATACAGGATTTGCTGTCAATTACCGTTCCTTCTTTTCCTACAATATCATCCAGCTCGTTGGATTTTTCGTCCCACATACACACGGGAGTCACGTAATTAGTGAGCTCCACTTCGGAGGACAACGTCAACACGGCGATGTCTCCCAAATAGTTGCTGCTGTTGTACGACGGGAAGACATTTATACGGGTAACCTGCGTATCATAAGAAAAAAAAACAACCATTTATTGTACAAATTACACCAAAGACTGCACTCGAAAGCCTACCTGTTTTGTCTGCACTCCCAGCTCGTCACTATACTGCAGCTGATGGTACTTACCCAAATAGACGACTATTTTACTGGAATTGTAAACCGCGTCATTTTGCTTTGACGTCACACAGTGAGCGGCTGTTGTAAAGTAAATAAACAGCTATAATAACATACATTGTCCGGAGTCAAATATAAGAGTTTTGAACACAGACCTGTGATGACTTTGTTTCTGGACACTAGAGATCCCCCACAGTTATAGCTTAGATTGATGCCTTCGATTAAATAGAGCGCCACGTGCCAGGGCCATTGGCCACGGTGAGTCGACTGGCCGTTGGTCACCAATGGCACGGCGAGTTTAACTTCACCACAAGTACTTCCGGACACTTGTTGCGAATTTGTGCTGTAAAAAAAAATATGCGATTTTCCCGTTTAGAAAACGCTGTCTACTTAAAAATGCTGATGAGATAAGACTGTAATTTACGTGCTGTACGACGAATCTTGGTTCTGATTTTTGTTCGGTTTTTGATTCGACGACGACGTTTGTTGTTCAGAAGGTCTGTTGTTGTTGTTGTTGTTGTTGTTGGAGTTCTGTGGCCTAGACTGGCCGGAACCACTGTCTGTGGCCACCGGGCGACTACTAGAACTACTGGAACTCGGTCGATTCGCATTTAGCTCCGGTCTATTCTGGTTGGTTCCCGGTCTATTATTTTGATTGGTGTCCGGTCGGTTGTTGTTTAAAGCTGGCCTATTGTTGTTCAAGTTTTGTTCTTGCGTGTTATCGTTGTTGTTTATCACAGTTATGATTACCGTTTTGTTATTGGACGGGTTGCTGAGTATTTCGTCGATGACTCCGGATATTTGATCTTTGTTGTTAGAATCCGTGCTGGCCTGTAAGGATACCGTGTTGGGTTTGTTGTTAAGGTTATTGCCGCTATCAAATGGGGGCCGAATGGTTGGTTTTAACGTTGTAGTCACTGTTACTTTATTGTTGTTGTTGTTGTTGTTGTTATACACTGGTCGATTGTCGTTGTCGTTGTTATAGTTATTTGACGGTTGGTCAATACCATAAGGCGGTTGTGTGATCGGCTTGTAGGTTTCTTTGTTGTTGTTGTACACTGGACGTTTGTCACTGCTGCTTCCAGTACTACCCGAAGAATATTCTTTGTTGTTGTTGGTGTTACTATTTTGATTGTTATTATTATTGTTATAGTTTGGGGAAAACTCGTCAATTTGTTCGGTGGGGCTTTCACCAAACTCTGGATCGGGTCTCTTCGTGTTCTGAGGTCTTTGAGGTTTGGTCGTCAAATCGTAATCAGAATTGTAATCTGCTAATTAAAAGTACATAGATCATCTGTAATACCGTTTTGGGAATGTATAGGAAAAATTTAGTGTCTTACGAGTATCTTCGGGGCAAATCTTACGGCCGTTCAATCGGATCACTCGCAGTCTAGGACTGCCGGTGGTCCGGTTGAACTTGACCATGATCCTTGAAAGTACCGGAGGGCCAGGTCTGAGTTTTTGGTTCAAATTCAATATGGTAAACTTCACGTTATCATTGGAAGAGGTTTCGCCCATCCATGACTGTAATGATACACACGAAATTACAACTAGAACCGATTTGGTTTTAGTTTTAACATATTAAACAACACAAATAAGAAGATGTATACAAATTAAATACTAAAACCCTGTAATTGATAATACATTTAAGTGATCTTACACAACATAATAATATGGTCGATTAAATGGAATTAGGCTTTGAAGTGACGACTAAAGTAATCACATCAGTGTAACATATTGTATACGATATGCTTTGTAAAATGCAGAAGCTACAAATGCCAAAATATATGTGTAGAAAAGGAAACCCACTCTACTATATTTAATGGAACTAGCAATAATAAATATCCGATTAAGTAAATATTGGACGTCATATCGAATTTGAATACTGTAAAAACACTTAGGAAATCTGTTTTTAAATCCTTCGTTAGCGAAATTTAAATAATTTTCATACGGAAGTATTTTCCAATTCTACTGGTATCGAACAGATTCAATAAAAACAATTTACAACACAAGTTTTCTGCAGCCTGCGGGACGATAATTATATATTGTTGGCCACTAATCCTATACATGTAACGCGCGCTATATGTAGGTCGTTAAAAAAATAATAATTATAGCGACCAACATTAAAGGCAATTATCTCTCCACCGCGCACAGTTTGGTATAAAAACGTACAATTTATAAGCGAAACACACAAAACGCCTAAGTGTATACGCATTTAACGTTATTGAACTTACTACCATCAAATCTGAAGGCCGATCCAACTCGATGTCCAGCCGGATGCCCACGAGACTCTCGTCGGTCCTGAGGGATATTTCACCATACCATCGGTTGTTTTCTGGCTCGGTACCTTCGTAGGCGAATATGTCTGGGCAAGGAGAAGGCGGGTGCACCGCTGACCGTGATGAACGCACTGCTAGGGACAGCCACAATACCGTCGTGATAATGCATATTCGCTAAAACCCCAACACAATGTTGACTTGAACTATTTCGTTAGGTTGGATCGTTTCATCACTGCATTGGCGTAACTAGAGAAGGGGCTAAGGAAGTGCAAACCGTTTCAAAACTCTGAAAGCTGTGACTGATTGGTTGCTGACGTTTTTTTTTTTTTGACTTGAACGAGTTTGAACTTCCTCAGCCCCCTCTAGTTACGGCAAAACTTTCTTACCATCATAATAGTTAGGTTGAACGAACGAACCCCGCTGACTCGGGGCTTAAGACGCAATCCACGCACCAAACTTGTTTTGGTAAGGTAAAACGATAATCAACACTGACCAGTCGACACTAAATGACACAAAGCCGTTGTCGAGCAGACACAACTAGACATTTCCAATTGGCCCGAGATCGGATACTTGTGAGAATACCAATCGAAAAACTACAACAAAGCGGAACGATTAAATATATATTATATATATTTTGGAAAAAACCCAAAATAGTGGAATAATTTACGCGATAGAAAATAAATTTAATAATAAACTCCAAGGACAACAACTGGTCACAGCGTAAAAGGAAACACGCACTAAACAGAGTTCACCTGCTAATATTCTATAACATAAGTATAACGGAATTGTTATTTTAGAAACGTTTAACAAATCACCACGATCTTCTCAAAGATAACGTTGTTTCTCAGTATAATTACAGCACTACCTATGTCAAATGTTGGCACACAAATATTCATAGCATTAGCATGAACGACTCATTTTAAGAATGCGTCAAATTAACATGTTTTGTCTTTGTACCGACAAACGAGTAAAACGTAAGACCGCAAACTTGCTTCTTCTACATTATACGACGAATTAGTTGATTTTTATGCTGACTAATAACTATTTAAATCCATTTATCGGGCCATAGTAAGGTCGGCGTAATATGACTGTAAGAATTATTAAGACTGAATGATAAAATCACTATTAAAAAAAAAAACGCTTCGATGCTAATCTATAGTAAGTATACTAATCAATTATGTTACTGCTATATAAATAGTACACTATATATTTGTGTTAAGCCCAATGAGTGTTGATATTAAAATAAGTTACACTAATTTAATAAAGGTGAATTTATTTTTAGTATTTTTCTAGACATTTTAATAGCTATGAAGATGGTACATTTAGGCCCCTAAGAAAAGCGCGGTTAACAACCGCGCTTGACAGCTTGGTCAGTTTAACATGTCTTGTCCGTTTCCGTACGTTTAGGGTAAGACGAAACTTTTTATTGTAAACGTACCTAACCTCCCAAATTTAAATACTTATCGAGAAAAACGTCCAGATCAAGTCTGCTGCTTGTCAGATAACAAATATTTAGTGACATACACTATTCTTGTGTGAATAATCGCCCCTTTCCTAAGCTTTGATAAAACCTGTCGTCTTACCGACGTTGACCTTAAGATGTGTTTGACAAATGAACATATATTTACGTGCAACAGTATTTTCTATTTTTAACTGTTTCAACCATATTTTTAGTGTCCTCTCTATGGCTTATAAATCTATATATCTTACTGTATTGTTTTCATGCTATTCTAATAGGCCCCGATAATTATCCTAAAGTATTTCATTCCTAAAACCGTAAACACAAATATAATGGCGTACAGACTAATGATGGACATTGTATATTAAAGATGGATAATTTTTTATACATAATATTATGTTTTAATAATATATAGCTGGTTACGTAGGGCATCAATGGATGGTTTATCATGCACCTTAAACTTAGGACTTTAGACTAGCACAAGCAAATTTATTATGTAACACAAAATAAAAATAGTTTTACGCGGTTTCTCCTCAAAACGACAAATTTAATTTATAGAACGATTTTTAATTATCGATTTGATTAAATTAAAACAAAATTATTATTACAAAATTATTATTTTTAAATAGAGCAGTTTTCCCTTTATACTTGTGAATGTATGTATTTTTTTTTTAAACTTTTTTCTAGCGGCTCAAACATGGGCTATTATTTATTTTCCACATTTTTGCAAAAAACAACTTTTCAATTTCTCCAATATATCGCTATATTCCCAAGAGAACGAGATAACCAATAGTTATATTTTATAAACGACTTTTATGACAAAACAATGACTTACCAACAATGATCTTGTAGAAAATATTTAGCTCGTTTGTGGATACTATTTTAAAATCGACAAATTATCAACACGGTTGTACACAAATGGTAAAAACAAACTAAACAATTATAAAAAAATATCATACACGACGAACGAATATTTAATTGAAATAACGATAAGCGCACGGTCAGTGAAATTAATTCAAACACAACATACTATAATAACAAATATTTTACATCAACAAACTAGTACTTCGCACTCTCCAACGTGCACTGAGGTCTCAACGAGTGTTAAGTAAAATAATAATTGGACACTAGGTGGGCTATTAACATCTATATAGCTGCACCGCTACACCTACTACTACTGCTACTATTCAGGTATATCAGACTGGTATCATTCCCCAAGAAATCACCTCCTCCACCACCGACCGTCTACTTACTTACTGTTGTTGTTGTTGTTTTTTCCACGCGCATAACAATCATAATAAAACTATAACGACCATCATCATCAAAGCATGTGTATAATAATAATAATAGTTTTTAACATTATCACGAAACCGGTCGACCGAAAACCGGTTTTTCCACTGATAACAACGTCTGAGCGAGTGAATATTATGTCGGAAACTCCAACACGGGAAAATGCTTGTTCTTCGGTAATAAGTTTATCAAGTTTCTAGTGAGTAGGTATACAAAATAAAAAACAAGCTTTTTCTAACGTAAAGCTTATGTTTATTTTTTTCAGTAACACGGTTCGTGAAATAATATGATAATGTGGTAGGAACTAGAAAGTGCTAGAAATTGGCGGTGGTCGCAAGGGGGGGGCAAGCAGGCTCCAGACACTGATAAAAATCACGGGGTTGATACTTATCACACAAATGCGGTGGCCATCTTTTTATATCTACACCACTATATCTATACATTATTATTATTATTAGTTGTGCATAGATGTAACAACATATTATTATAATACATTAATTAAATTTTACAAAATGGCCGTCACTTTTTGGCTTACATTGAAAGTGATCCATCTGCTTCATCTATTCTGCATGCACCATAATAGGGGATGACGAGGGGAACACGTCGCCTGCAAGAATACAAGTTTATATGAAGTTTAATTATTTTCATGTTTATTTATGTACTTAATATTTCAAGTACATTCAAATTGAATTATTGATCATGATATATTTACACGATTGCCTCGACCCAATATCCACTAAAATGTTTGCGTACATACAATTGACAATATTATTTGGCGTACTTTAAAACTATACAAATATTTATAACGTTTAGGAAAAAAAAAAGTTATATTTTATGAAAGTTTTAGAAAAATTATTGAAATTGTATGTTTGCGATCAAAATAGACTTAAACATTATATGATATAGGTATGTACACACATTTTGAAAAAAATATAATATCATTCGCATTGTAGAAAAAATAATTAAATTATTTTGAAATATAAAAAAAACAGATTAAATATTAAAAACAATCTTAGGGGCATACCCCAATCCACAAATCGCTTCAAATCCAAATTTCGACAGCCTCCCCATTTCAGTTTTTTTTTTTTTTGACCGAGAAAATAAAATCAGTCGTTCCCCCAATCGTCTTAACGTTAAACGGACTAAAGTAATTTAATCCAAATCCTAACCGTTGTCTTAAAATAGATTACTTATTAACTTTTATTGCTAATGAATTTTGCACATTTCTAACTTAACGCAGCGTCCTATGTTTTATATATCTTGTTTTTTTTTAACATTATTACTTTTTATTTTACGATTTGGTCACAATAACAAATGCAAAACTTGAATTAAAATTGCCTTATTTATGATCAGTAATTAATTACCACTTGTAGGTAACATTAGATATTATTATTTTGACAGTGTTGCAATTAGAGGGAGGGTTAACCTCCTTAGATAATCTAAGAAACCCTTCTAAATTATGAATCTAATTTTTTTTTTACATTTTTAACAAAAGTTTATATTAAAACGTACTTTTTAGCCTCCTTATTTTTTATCGTTACTTTATTTTCATTAGGTTATATGCAATTGAAAAAAATACTATTCAAGTTTAAGAAAAATTCTAGATGTCAAAGTCAATTGGGGTATTATGTGGTTTAGCACTCCTCCGCTGAGATTATTTCCTACTTTCACTACTAGATATTATTTTGGTAAAAGACAAATACAGAATTTTAATATTATTACACATAACGTCTAGTCGGTCACACGGTTCAATAGCCAACGGAAGAATATTTTGATTTTTGTATCTTAAATATTATTGCTTTGCTTCGATACAAAAAATAGCGCGCCATAAGTTATTTTAGATACAGTTCTTGTTAAGGACTTTAAATTTTTTTTTCTGTTTATATTGGAATGTCTAATACTTCCGCCTGTGTACATTATAAAATATACGTTTTTGTTTTAAAATGTTCGTTAAATGAAATATGATTATACTCAACGTGTTTAAGAAATGCAAATTTTAATACCGATTCAGGAAGGGCCTCCGACCTTGATTTCATAAACACACCCAACGCATGCCAATATTGTAAAAATATTATAATATTATGACATAATAATATGTTACTATGTACGTAGAAATAACAATGTTATTCAATCATTATTTTCAAACGATTTTGACGTATTAAATAAAAATGTTGAAGTAACTGTCCAAGCCATAAAAATAAGTTTGAAAATAATATATAGTAAACAAATTGCATTTCCAGAAAACAATAGATCTCATGAGGGACCTTTACAAAGGAAATTTCTTAAAAAATGTAGATCATACTAAAATATGGTCAGCGACTCTCATAAATGGATTTATTTCCCTTTCTTGCTGATTGCAATACAACTGAACCCGTTCAGTTTGTATAACATGTTGAACAAAATTAATCACCGAAATTGATAAGGGCATACAAATTATGTTTCTAATTAATAATGAAACATATTGGAATACCTACTAGGTAGACCCTCGAATTTAATCATTCGGTGATATGATTTGTGATATTTGCATAGTTATTGTAAAGTTAAACGGGTTATCGACACCACGTCAATGCAATAAAATATACGCTTTATAATATTTTAACAGATTGTAGTTTTAAAACAACATGTTTGTTATCAGCTATATATATATATATTGCACAATTTTTAATTAATGACGAATGAGCGCTCTACGGTATTCCCTGCTAAAAAAATTTGTTCTAGATTTTTTTCTAAGAAGTATAATTAGACTTTAGTTATAAATTACCTACTGCGTCTTTGCTTGGCGAGGGAATTTGGCCAGCGTTATCAACAAATATTATACCAGAAAAATACAGAAAATGAGCGTAAATTTGTTGAGTTAACCATAAATGGCATATTGTGTATAATATAATAACATGTTTGTAATAAACAGTTTTATATTTTTAGGTTGTAAGCCTTTGTGTAGGTAGACATATAAATTATGTAGTAATATCAATATATTATTCTATAAAAAGTTTCTATGAAAATTTCATTTTACTCAATTTTAAAGCTTTCGAAAATATTCCATGTTCTCTTTAATTACTGAATATTAAACTCTTATACCTATCCTTTAAGAAATATGAATAACAAGCTACAATAGGAAGTACACTGTATAGTTTAATCTACACTCGTTTCAGAATTTTTGAACTACCTTTAAATTTGAATATAATATTGTTTGTGCAAACATACACAAGACGCCAGTTAATATACACTATCTAGAAGCTATGATCAAAGTGTAATTTTCCTTTTTTTTTTCAACAAAAAATGTTTGACTACAAGTTTTTGGGAAAATTATATAATTGGTAGTTACAGTCACATTCTAGACATGACATTATTACATGTAAAACGCAGAATATTGATTGGAAGTTTATATCATTCATTCACGTGCTGCGAGTTTTCCTGGAGAAGCAAGTCTTCAAACAGAAAAAAAAATGGTACCTAATGCAGGCCCCCTGAGAAGAAACGTGCATTCTCAATATGGAGTCATTTCTAGGCAACTTTATAAAAACGATTTGTTGTTGTCACTCATCAACTGTCAAAGTCGTAGAGAAACAATAGTAGGTATCGGCGACAACTGACAAGTGTATTTTTAAATTATGACTATAATGAGGTAAATCATTTTTTATAATACATTCCCTTATGAAGCCACGTGGCTTCCATGATATGTTTTGATTTCCCTTCAAACGGACATTCTATTAATAGTAAATGTATAACATTTTTCGCAAGACAAAACACATACCATACCATCATTAAACGAAATAAATTTAAATAATGAAAACATACTATTTTCCGCCCAATGAGTACGGACCATTTAAAAAAAACGTTTTTAATACTCTATTTTTGAATTTTGTTAAAAAATTCAAATGTGTGGAGGTCTTAAAAATCCGTTTTAACAGTTATAGTACATTCGAATATACCTAATGTACATTTGTAGGTACAAATGCAAATATTTTAGACTGCTAAAAAAAATGGGGATTATAAATGTGTTAAAAATGTAATATGATTATGAAAATAATCACAATAAATATATTCAAAATAATTTAACAATAATATTAAATGTTATAGATTTTTCTTGGATACACATTCTTATCACATACAATATGTTAACAAATAAAACATAATAGTAGCAACTTAAAAGCTTTAGATTTAAAAATGACCATTAATGTCATTTAGTTTAACTTATAAAGAGTAGACTCAAAGTTAATATCTGACAATATGTTAACCAATGACCAAACGTATGGACCGAAAAATTCTTCTGGCTTCTCTTCCTCGACGTACTTGAATTTGAGGTCTGGGAATTTCTAAAAAAAAAAAAAACAATCACAATTAAAAATCTATTTAATACATACACATACAATATAATCATGTATAATAATATCACATTATCAGAACATTAGTGTAGTAACTCACAAAATCATGTACTGTGATAATTGAACTTAAGGATTCTATTTGCAGTATAATTACAATATAAAATATTTTTGTTTTATGGTCTAATTTGTTGTTTTAACAGTATGACTAGCTACATAAATTAAGAATGTCTTAAGTTTAACAATTTTTCGAGCAACTACATTAATGTTTTGATGGTGCCAATTGTGCAGCGATAAAAAAAATTGAATTTATTATACCTTCATAAGATCTCTGGGCCACTGAAGAGACCAATGTTGAACTCTAGCTAAAACCGTGTTCACGTCAGATGAATTTAATAATTCTTCTTCCCGCTCTAATTTAGCAGAAAAGAATGTAATGACCATGTCAATATTTTGAATGACATCGTGGAATGCTTCATGGCTCTTTAAAGGTTCAAATACTTTTCGCTGATATAGCAAAGCATAAACTAAATTCGGATTGTGAATCAACTGATTGGACAGACAAGAGTTAATCACTTCTAGGACGATACGCAAAGCTTCCTCAATGGCACTCATCTATAAAAATTACACAGATAACAAATAAGTATGTGTATTATATACTTACTACGAAAGTTGAATAAATATCTTACGTCTTGATTTGGACACCGTAAAAATGTCTTTGACAAAACCTCGTACAGACTTAACATTCTTTGGCAAACATACGGATGTAACTGATTAAACTGTGACGACATATTTGCTAGTGCCGCAAAACAATTAATATGAAGATATTTATCCTACGAGAAAAAAATTGTCTATCAAATAAATTAAAATATGACAGATAAATTAAAAAAAACATATACTTACTCTCATTTTCAAAAGATTAAACTGAGCCGTTCGAGTAGTAACCAATATGATAAGACCTCCCAATGATATTTCGGAGACCACTCTTTCCTGGTACCAAGTAACACTTTTCAGTATTATACTATGAACAGTTTTGTTAAAAAGTTGATCTTCGGTTAAGATTAACAGTACAATCAGTGCCATATACATATGCTGGAACCTGCTGCTTTGAGTGTTGTATATCGTCCTTAGAAGTGGGATCAACTGTAATAAGACAACATTTTAGTTTCAATGCGAAGCTGAGAAGGTATTGTTTTTACAATAATGTGTTTTTCTTTGTTTGTGTCTGAACCCATGATATTTTTGAAATCTTAATTATTTTCTGACAAAATGAGTTTCTTACATTAAACTGATCACCCTGTATATAATTTTTTCAAAAATCTGTTGTTATACTTTTATTTTATCAAGGAAAAACAAACAAAAAGGAAAATTATTACACTCTTTCACTGTAGTCAATTTCTAGGTTCCTATATCGATAGTCAACAGGTATTTAAAAATATTTTCATCATATTGTTAATTACGATAATATATGGGTAACAACGGCAATAAGTTATTATAGTCAGACCCTAATCATACCCGTGTACTAAAAATACATTTTTTAGCACATTATGTCATTACAATGCTTTTATTGATAATTGTATTTTACCATTCACATCTAAGTGTTTATTCACTTTCAGTTGCAATAATTTATACAGACTTGCGACCTCCCCTGCCTCAATATGCTGTGTTTTTTTTTTGTTAGTAGTATTGTTCATCAATAATGAATTAATATCACTAACCACAACTTCTATATCTGTGCGTGCCAGCAAAAATGACTTGAAACTGTTATTGCAGTGTACCAGATGATATAAAAGTAGGGTTTTCTCTTCACTCAACGGTGCATCGTTGTTGTCTCCCAAAAATGTGTATACCGTGATTAAATTATCTATAAGCATAATATTTTATTTTCACAAAATGAAAACAAATAGTCGAGTATTTATACATAGTAATTATTATTATATTTTTTACCCGACAACGATGAAATGCAGCTTCTGTAGGGATTACCATTAGGCGGTGGTGGTGATGTACAGTGATTTATCAATACCAATAGTATGCTAACCGATAAAGAACTTAAAGGGCTTTGATTTCCTTGAGTAGATGAACTTGGACTAAGTGTTAGAATATTCCATATGTTTGCTATGATAAACATACAAAATAACATATAATATAGATAATACTGTTATTCTTATAAAGCAATTTATATTGGATTACTAGTTACTCACAGGCCAATCCAATAATAAGGTTGCCTCCGGAAAAGTTAGGCGGTTTGATTTGTTCAATATATCTTTGCAGTAATGCTTTTGACAACTTTATTGAATCAATATTTTCCATGAAAATTCTGAAAATTACGTACATGATATTTTACAACAGTTATATTTACATAATTGAAGAGTACAGGGAAAAAACCAGCAAAATCACTTTTTCTTAATCTAAGAAAAACATGTTTAAGTAATGCTAAAATATGTTTTAAAATGTTAAAGAAATACTTAAAACTTTAAAAAATATTGTATATTTTTGTTTATAATCGTGCTTAAAAGTGAAGAACAGATTCGTTTTGTATCAAAACTAGTTTTATAACAAAAAATTGCCATTTTTAAAAAGTGTCTTTGCTGGTTTTTTCCCTGTACCTTTCATATGCTTTATTTCTGTGTAAAAACTATGAAGTTTACTGTTATTAATTTTTAGTAATAGCATTAGTTGGAACATTTACTAAACAGGTGAAATTGTTAGTGTATATATTTAATGCCAATAAAAATAATTAAATTTTTTTTGAAATCCACTTGTTTACATTCTTACACAAATGAAAGTGTTCTTTCTAAACAACGTTAAATGTTATAATATTTCTAAAAATAATATTACATAATAATATAATAATAATAACTTACTTGTAAACTATAAGACTGCTAGAAGGTTGAATAGTATACATTTGAATAGATAGTAATATTAATATGCAGTTTGAACTTTCTATATGAATTGAATAAGTTAAATCACTGTGCAAACAAAAATGTAATTAAAATATTAATATCTCTAGCTAATGGATACAATAAGATAACAAAAACTTACTTGACTTTTAATTCGGTTACAATTTTAACTAACAGTGATATAAATTGATATGATGTTGTTTCATTAATATCATCAGGAACTGCATACTCTTTTCGGTCACCCAACGCAACTTCAATTCCATCTAAAAACAAAATATTACATTTAATTGAAACCTTAAACCCTAGAACCAAAATATTAATTTTTTAATTGAATTTGTATATAGTTTTGTAATTAACAAAGGATATACTTCTACTAATTTAATAGTTTAATTTGTCTTTTTATTTTAAGGTGATTTTAGAATACCTGTTTGTAGTTCAAATTGATTGATGAGTTCAATTTCTTTTGCATTCTGGACAAGATACTTTAAGAAGTACCGAGCAATAAACAAGCCATTGAATATTTGACATCGCAATATATTACTGAAAAAATAATTGTTCAGCTGTAATCAATGGTACTATTTAAAAGTTAAAAAAATTATAGCAACTTACTTATCTTCAGCTTCCAATTGTTCGAAATTTGATTTTTGGAGTATAAGTTTTATGAGTGTCTTGAAATTTGATGTATTTCTGTTGTTCACGATTAATGAATCACAAATACTTTTCAGACGGTCAGTTAGCACTTTATCATCTTGGCTAAAATAGTATTAAACAATAATAGTTTTATTAATCTCAAATTCGAAAGATACAATATTATCTGAATATTTGTAAAATAATTTTTTTTTTACTTGCTTGGAACAAAAATTGATATTGTACAACTCAGCAAATCGGGGTAAAGGATCTACCATACACGTCGAAAGATTTAATCTGAACTATCTACTCGTGTATGGGGGGAGTTATTATGATTGGATCCTTATCATTTGAACCTTTTTTTTTACTTAATTCAGTATAACAATATATTTTCCAATGGTTACCTGGACATCGGAGGATTCAACGAGAACGTTAGGAATGTGTCCCAAAACGGATCATCGATTGTAATCTCCAGTTCGCCTGCCAGCCGCAACAGACAATCGTTGTCAGCCAGTTCGCCGTGACTCGGTCCGGCGCCCATAGTGACAGTCACTTGGCAGTGGAGAAGATAGCTACTACTGCTAGTGTCACTCGGTGTTATTTTCTGCCTACTGCTGTTGATGACGTCCGAACATCCACGACCCTCTGGTGGTGACGGTCATTGGCAGCCGGCGACAAACAATAACTAATAGGAATTACGTGGAAAAAATAAAATTAATTATGGTAATAAAAAAAAATTAGAAAACGATCACTGAAATAATATGTTTGCTGTTGTTCTCTGCTGTAACTTGTTTTATTGCGATTTGCGGTATCCGTCATCCGCGTTATCTCATTTTATCACATTTTCAACTGATAACGTTTATTTTATATGACGACGGTAAACCGCACATATCAATGTAGCCAACAGTCGCCGGCAAAATTACCCTGCCGTCAAAACACGGCGTACTTGACAAACCAATGCACTATACCTATTATTACTGTATTATGAAACCTCCTATGCACCGTTACAAGACCATCGTTGAGGTTCATCTTCGCCAATAATTAGTAATTGATAATATTAACAATATTATCAATGAAATTGTCGTCCCTAGAATTAATAGTCCCTCTAATAGGAACTCTGTTGTTTTGTTGCCGAATTTTCCAATAATCCGTGGCTTAGATGGAACAACGTTACCATAACGAAATTCAGCTGTTTTATATAATATTTTACATAAACTGTTATTTTATGTCGGAAAGTAGAACGAATCATTTGCAATGCATACCTACTGACGTCTGACCGGACATATTAAAAAGTTTAATTAGTTTCTTTCATATATTATGTATACCTAATTTTTGTGACCAAGACGTGCTAATTACAAGTATGTTTCGAAAAGTAGCTAGTAAGGCAGTAGAAAATAATTGGACAGTTATAAACAGCTATTTAACCTTAGTTCTTATTTTTGACGGTAAAAACACAATACTTTAAATACAAAATATTTTAAATTCTAAAACAATAGTGCAGTCATCTATTATAATAATCAATGATCGTGCTGAGGTCACACTTTAGATAATTTATTCGCCAATTGAACTAAAAAATCCGCTGTACAAGGAGATAGTAGATTAAATTTATTACTTTAAAGGAAACTAGTAGTCTAATCGCGGCCTTTCCTGCATGAGCCATTTTTTTCATTGAAATATACAATTAATAGTTATTACTTATTAACCATCAATAATAATAATGGTGTCAACACAGACCACAGTGACCAGTGTTATATTCAATAGTACCTACCAATATTATGCATAATATTGTATGAACGTTTAATTGTATAAAATTACCTGTATAATATCTTAGGTGGTGGTAGTTTTACAAAAATAAATAAGCACGCGTTAATTAAATAATTGCCGAGGTTAAAAAATACGGACCTATTTTTTTTCTTAAAACTGTAACACTAACACATATTATTATTTTGTATATTAATGCGATTCGTCTAATGTGTTTAACGTTACAGATATTGTTGGGGATCGATTAGGAAACGATCAAATCTTTATTGCGTTGGCAATAATTATTATTTGCCTGGTGGTTATTGTGATTAAATATAACAGCATGTACATCCATAACGTGTTGCACAAACTAATGTCGAAGACAAAGCAGTGTTACAGAGTAAGTTTATTATGTCATACGTCAACAAATAACATAAAGTGTTTTTTTTCCCCGAAGTCGTTTATACATATCAAAGCAGTTCGCCTAAGTTTCAAAAGCTCTTTAAAATGTTCGATTGTCCAATTAGCAAATAAATACAATTTTTTTAAATGCTTGCAGGATGATATTTTTTTAATTTCGAATTTTTGAGACGAATAATATACAGGGTGATCCTTCTGATGTAAGACACTAATTTTCTCGGAAAATATCAATATTTTGTAAATTCATTTTTTTTAAATACTTCTAGGTATATATTATTTTACTATATTTTTCAAAACTCTGAAAACATATGTTCATCCCAGGTTGTCAAAATAAACAGTAGCCGTCACTGTATTTGAATAGATAGATAAGAACAGCTAGTGTATCGTTATCTCGACACTTTTTATTGTGTCGATTACCGCTGTTTATCGCCTATCCAACAAAGCGAAATTAAATATAAATTATATAGGCTACTGTTTGGACGACTGAAAAATACGGGGAAATTTAATAGATTTACAAAGTTATAGAAAACGAACGGATTTATAAAAATTCAAACGCTAAAAATATGTTTAACACTTTTTTTATGAAATTAATATGTTCCCATTGGAAAGGACGAAGTCCATGTTTATTTAACGCCTAAGGGATGAAGATACAAATTTTCAAAGTATTGAAAAATATAGTAAAATATATGTACCCGAGAAAATAAGTGTCTTAAATCAGATGAATCACTTTGTATTTTATTATCATTAATTGGTCATTGAATCTGTAGATGGTAGAAGTACAAATATTGATAAAGGCAGTGTAATGACAATAATTTGCTTCAAATAGTATTTTTAGTATTAAGTGGATACGATTAGGGTCGATCGTTTGTCTTTCTTAATAATTCGTTGCCTTTGCTAATAATAGGTAAATGCCATAATCGACAAAATAATTAAAAAATATTGGTCGGATTCCTATTGACTTTTAAATAATCCACACATATAGCAACCTGGAAATTTATTACGGTTAAAGTATAACTCCCCCCCTTTTTTTGTTGTTCAACCTAGTCCTAAAACTTTGCTTTAGTTTTGAGTTGAAAAATATTAAAACATTTTTACATGTTTTTTTTTTGTTGGGTGTTTTTCTCGATTCTCTTCAATCCATTCTTGGCTACGAATCTAAGCCAATACAGTGTTGTATACCTTCAGCATATAACCGTAATACAAAATATATTTTTTCTCGTTTAGCTCCTAACTGTTGTTGTTCGCATGTTGCGATTTGAGGAACGCAGTCGCTTCATTGGCAACAATAAGAATTGTCAGTGTCATTGTCGTGCTAATATTGAAACGTTTGTCAGAGAGTATAAACAAGAAAACGAAAACATACTCAATCACATAATGGAAAACAGAGCGTTGATACAAATGGTGTTAGGTGATGTAAAATCAAATATTTTTGTTTTCACATCTTCGACAGCACAATAAAATAGCCACGTTTTTAATGTTTAGCCAAACTGAACTCTACTCCAGAGAAGAAGGCACTTCTTGGGCCTCCTATGCCGCCGCCTCCGCCACCACCTTTGCCATCACCGCCGGTTTTACCAGCTAACAGCCGTGGTCTTTGCGATTCGTCCAAGTTACAGCGCTTCACAAACGGCTTTTTCAGGCCCGCCATAACTGTGGAAGACATACAAAATGTGAAACTAAAGAAAATCGCATACCATAAGGTAAACATTACAATTGATAAATATTCTAACCGTCGTAAACGATCATTGTAACGTTTAATGACCAACTTGTATTCATGTACTACATACATTTAGGGTTACTACACAAATCAGTCGGCCGTATTGTGCAATTCCATAAATACGATAAAACTGAAGCACATCAGTGGCGTTTCCAGCCTTTCTTGTAGTACCCAAGAAGCCGGAAGATGTTAATCTCTTGTTACACTGTTGCAAATGTGTGTCGAAAACTAAACGATGTTCGAACATTAACTTAATTCAATGTCGTTTGTTTTTTAATTTTTTGTCAACAAAATAAATACAGAACATTGAACATTAATAAATAACATTTCATACAAGTTCAATAAGAAATTATTGAACTTGTACTTAATGTTATTTATTTTTGTACGGATGCTTTGTTAAAAATGATGATTATAAAATGTATGACACCATATTGTTACGACATGATATTAATTATTGAACATGTTTGTAATATTATTTATTTTTGTTTGAACTAATTTTGTAATGATGATGTTACCTTTGTTATAAATTATGATACTATAAATATTTCATTAAACCGTTGTTTATATTTATATTCTTGATACACTTGTTTATGTATACACATCATAGCGTCATGGCAGTTAATCGATATAATTAATATAGAATACAGTTTTATAGGTCGTAATAAATAATTGTATTTATTCATTAGACTTAGTACAATTATAAAAGATTAAGTGATCCATGATAATCATATTCCTGTTAAAGTAAATATTAAATAAGATAAACTATACTAATACATAAAACAAAATACTATAATGCATTTATTAAATATTATTATGTAAACTTTAAATATAATAATTGTGTTAGTTTGACTAAATGAAAAAACTTTTAAACAGTAAATATTACCAGTCTTACAAACTGTCCACTAGATTACGTGGTCGGTATATTTTCGTTATATTTTATTCTATAAAATTACACTTATTATACATAATATATCTAAAATAGTGTAATACAAATGAAAGATATAGATTGTGTTGCAATTATTGCAGATTAAAAAATATTATAAAGGTGATATTTTAGGCAATAAGTGCTACTACTGTATTCAATAAAATAATAGTACTATAATGTAATTTGTATTTTTGTAAATTACAAAAATATTGTTTTGTGTAAACACTTTGCAAAAATATTTTTTTTCCCAAAAAAAGTACAAGTTAGATTTGGTCTAATAATAATAAAATAAAAGACAATGGCTAAGCACATATAATAATAGAATCAAACAAGAACAAGGAAGACTTAAGTACTAAATGTTAGTAACATCTGGTAAAAACAAGTTGTACTTTGGTTGGTGAAAAGTCGAAAAAGTCAACTTCTTCACCCGCAAAACCGGGAAAACCAGCTTCGATGCGAATTTGTAGATATTGGACCCCACTTTTGTAATTCCCTACTGTGCCGGTTTATACTGAGCTTGGTTTAAACTTTACTAGTTTGTACTGTGCTGGTTCTTTTTTCAATTTCGTTTGGTTTGTATTAGATATTTTACTGTGTCTCATAATATAGCCACGACATTATACGCTATACGAAGTTCCATTGGCTACTACATACCTACTAATATATAATAATAATATGGTAAAAAACAAAATTCTTACCTTGTGACCCGTGCTGGCGTGTCTTCTGTGTTTTACTATCGTCTGAAGATCTCGGCTAGCCCATAACAACTAACCTGACATCTTCAAGACCACGTTAGACACTTGTTGTCGGTCCTTTTAACATTAATTCTGGTCCTGCCCATCGACGAGGTCTCCGTTTTGTTCTTGGCTCTGTCTGCCAAAGGTAGGATCATCTGTAACCTTTGCGAATACGAAGGGTTATCTATACATAATAAAAAACAAAAAAATGATAAACAGTATTTTATATTTTTACGTACACCATTATAACGTCGCACAATACTTCTTGATTTTCGTTATTACTATTATATTTTATATACACACAAGCCCGTCCTTTGTGTGTACAATGCTGATTTTGATGTGAATAACAACAAGTATAGGTAGTTATATACACCTTTTCACCGTGAACAATACCGTAATGACTTTGTCCAGATACCAATATGATTTTTTTAAATATATATGTATATTTTTTTTTTGGTAGGCTGAATGCGCGTCGTTTATAAACGGCCTACACATGGTAGTACCGTCTTTGTCTAATTCCCACCCCGCTCTCCCAAACCACACACTAAGATCATATAAAAGACCTTCTGGGCCCCACGGAGTTGTACAAAAATCAAGCGGTCCTGTTTTTTGACCCGCCTCTGATACCGTGTGTAAAAAAGTCAAAAAAAAAAATGTACTACCCGACGTGACGTCGAGAGTTGACCGACGAGAATTAGATTCGTCGTAACCCATTGTTTTAAGGAGATTAAAAGCAGTCTGTTTTTTTTAACAGTGTTAAAACACCTTTAGAGAACGGTCCACTTTAATTTCACAAATTTCTTTTTTAAAAAATAGCTATTTATTTTATCTTATTGATATTTGTATACACAAATTATTGTACATACCTACACATTTATATTCAGTTTTTCATAAAATAAAATTTATTGTTCTATAATTAATCTCCATACAATTTTAGTAATTCATTATTTAACCATTATAATATTTGTAGTTGCTTGGAAGTTAGTTTTAATTTATAAAATATCAATTAGTATGATTAGTTAAAAAAGATGGTCTTATTGCGAGAAAGAGAGGAGCACTACTATAAAAATGCATACAATTTTCAATAACAGGTATGTTAATGCAGCGTGATTATGTACTATTAATAAAACAAATTCCAGAAACACTATGAAATAGCGTTTAGTGAGGTATTTTAAAGTCCTAGTCCACCATAGAACTATAATTTGTACAATGTACATGTATGTAAAGTATAGTTAAACTTGTAGAATCTTTTGAAGAAAAAAAAATTTAAAGGCACTACATTTATATCCACCTATACCACCTGCCACAATTACAGTTTACAATTATGGGGTTTAAATCAGCAAAGGCGACTCGGTAGACATAAATAAAATAATAATAGACATTATGAATTTAAATAATAATGACAACGCTTTAGTTTCAGGCTACTGTCTACGGATAATGGAAATTATTTTTAGTCACATGTCACAAGTACTAGCTTTTATTGTAATAATATATGCCAACCCAAATTATACAAACCTACCGAATGACTCTAATGGACTTCATTTTACCTGGAGCTTAACTTTGTGACAGTAATTTTGAGTCGTTATCATTAGAAGGGCTTCAACATAGTTTTGACATAGGTAAATATCGAATTTCAAACTAGCTTTAGTATGTTTCCTGCATTGTGCAAAATACATTGTATATTGTAAGTATAACCTATATTTTTCAGACAGCAAAATATAAAATAAAAATTGCCAATATACTGTGAAATTGTCGTCAATACGTGTCTTATTTGTTTACTAAAAATGCTTGTAAGTAATTTTTATTACATTTAAAATTGTTTTAATTTGCATCCTCTATAAAATATAGAAAATTCTGCACAGTGGGAAAGAGCATATTAGGATCAGAGTACCACAGTGTTCCAGGAATTATTACAATTGAAAATGATAAAATTACTTTTAAATCAACGCGTTGATGCGAATCTTCAGATGGTAGAAATATTAAGTATCGATACAAGCATTGTAAAGGATAAAATATTTTGTTTAAAATTGGATTGTTTGTTAAAATGTCTGGTAGTGGGTCCAGACAACAATAAAAAATAATAAAAACACATCATTGTACAAACAACACTTTCTCAGCTCGATAACGAAGCTAAAATAATTACAGTACCTAATAACAAGAAGATATAGAAATTATCAGTCATCAACGTTTGTATATAATTTACAATATAGTTTAACGAAAAAAATGTGTTGATTTAAAAAAAACATTATTTAATATTAATTATTCGAAATATTCTATTATTATAATTAAGTTTTTTAAGACAAAAACGTTCAAGCAAATTCACATTTCGTTACAACCAATTACCTAGTTTGGTTTTTTTTTTAGCATTCAAGATAGTTGTAGTCTGAAAATAACAGTATACTTTGTTGTTTGATATGTTTCATAAAATATTGATCCGATTAATTTCGGTCTTTCGTTTGGTTATAGTTTGTATGTATAACACCTTACACATACACACACATGTACAAGCGTGTACGGGGAACAGATTATAAGCAAAAGTAGTATCAGGTACCGACACAAAATGGCCGGGAAATTAATTGAATACTATAATTAACGTGTTAAGCAAAGAGAAACGAAGCCTCCCGCGGTGTTTGGTATTTTTTTAATCCTTCTATAATCGGATTGCATTTTACCATCTATTCCCCCTAAATCCTTTCAAGTCGCCCACCACAAGCCAAATAATATGTATACCGCGGTTCGACAAGGATCCGGGTCGAAAAGTAAACCATCATGATAATTTCCAATTGGGATTAAATACAAAAACAATAACAATTATTATAAACGACTATGGCCTTAATCTATTGTGTTATATTTTATAACAGTTAACGTCCAACTTGAAAGGTTTTTTTTTTTTATGAAGATATCGTTGAATGTACAAGATCAGTAAAATTTTATCACATAATATAAAACCGTCACGTTACTTATTTATTTGTTTAAAATTATGTGGAAAACGAAAATAGATTGTTATTGTATTTCCCAAACGGCAGTTGTATGAGCTTTTTGTTTTCACGTACCCTCCGTGTTGTTTCCAGTGTCCGTGTCATCAAATAAGACCAAGGGGTAAAATAGGCAAAAAAAATGAAAAAAAGAAAAAAAAAGGTTTATTGGCCGACGCTCACCAGTGACATTTCGGGTTACATTGAGTTAGGGTGCCCAAGAGTATTGAATAGAAAACCTTCGTGCGATAAAATAAATCCAGTAATCATTGTGGAATTGACAAATCCTATTGTTTTCAGCATATGATAAAACTCTTCACCGATGATGCAATAAACTCTCTTTATTCAATTATATGTTTTGTACTATAACATTACTAAACAATCAAGAGAGAGAGAGAGAGATGTATATTAATACTATAACTCATTTTATAGTTTTCTGATTTCTAGTTGTTTATTATCTATAGGAAATCATTGTTGTGTAGTACGTAAAAAATAATAATAATTTCAAACTATCTGGCAGCTGGCATACTAATTTTGATATAAAATAAACAAGAAGGTAATATTATAATAAATATTTA